TTTTTACAGCTAAATCGATGGGCTTTGAAGTTTGGAGTGGCTGTTAATGCCTACCTATTATGATCCTTCAGTCCTCCAGTAAATGGAAAAAAGGCCCTAATGCTCTCTCTCTCCCCACTAAATAGAGACTCCCACGAAGGTAGGCACTTTATGGGTGCATCCCAAATGGAACCCTATTCCCTTTATAGTGCACTACTTTTGACCAGAGCTCTATGGGCCGTTCTCAAAAGTAGTACACTATATAGGGTGCCATTTGGGATGCAGATTCTCTCTCCAGTCCCCATTGTAATGGGAAACACTGGGCGGCCCGGGCGGCATGTTAACTAATCACAAGAGGTCAGATTACTAAACCCACAATGAAAGCATGGGTCCTTCAGTAGTGGAATGTTCAGCGCTAAAAAGGACTGGTAAAACAAGTTATTAGGGTTTTCACAAAACAAGGCTGAGGAAATAGGCCTACCTCAGTCGTGATTGGTTGAACAAGATGTCGGCCCTTTCGGTTTAATCTGTGTCCGCGGCTGCTGGGACAAATAATAGCGGAGAGTGGGCGTGTAGTAATTTCAGACAGCCCAGCTTTACAAATTGTTTTTCGGGGGGCTGCGTGCTCGAGCTGTCATTGTTTGATTGTAGCTTTCAGGCATTTAATACAAAGAGGTTCTTACAGGATTAATTGTTGTACGGGAAAATTGACTTAAATTAAAATGTCACTAACAGTATTGTTGAGAGGCTGTTTTGCCGCTCCCTCTTTGAAGCGCCCAGTTTGGTACCTAGCTACTGCAGTTATTTGGATAGTGTTAGCCTAACTAGTATTTTAACCATCATTGCCTGCTCATTACAATACACAATGGCCACTGTTCTGCAGGCCAGTACATGGGGCGCTAAATTGCCTGTTCGAAATGAGTTGACATTAGCTTATACAATGTCTTCCATGACTCGTTAAGTCTAAGACCCGAAAAGAGTTGGTCCGAATATTCAGCGAAATCAGGAGACTTACTGCTAATCAACTAATCAGTCTCCCTATTGATTCAGTGAGACAGCCAGTCCCCCTTCCCTTTAAGGCCTCCATGTTGTGCTTGGCTTTACTCTTGTTTTACCCTATGTTCTCTAGTCTTTGTCTTTCTGGAAAGTCTTGGCCCTCTTTTGGTCTGTGTTTGCTTGGCCATGTTGACACTCGAGGAAGGGGGACTAAGGAGAGACACTGACGGCGGCGCAAATGGTACCCTATTCCCTACATAGTGCACTACATTTGATCAGAGCCCTATGAGCCCTGGTCAAAAGTAGTGCACTATATAGGGAATAGGGTGCCATTTGGGGCACATACACTGTCTGGCACACACACTGTCTGGCACACATAGGGGAAGGTTCACTTTTAGATTAGTGCGCTGAATAGGACAAGTGTTGTGGGAAGCGCCAGGCTATTCATCACCAACAGTAACCAACAACTGGAGCACAACAAGGAAAGCCTTGCTTATTATAGCCCAGACCAGACCAGACCGTGCATGGCCTTCATTCTCTGCTGCTCTGCAAAGCAAGCCCTCTATACAGAAGCCTACTTGCCCTCCAAATCAAGTGCTTAGTATTATAGCACTGTTGACACTGTTTTCATTCCTTGAAAGTCTGGGCTTTCTTTTTTGGTGTTTTTTTGTCTTACTTTTTTTCAGTCAGGGGTCTGCTTTGTCATTTAGGATAAACGTGGTGTCAGCGTCAACGTTCTGCACTCTCCCTCCCTGCAACATTTGACGGTTGAGGGTTGTTTAGGGAAATATTTGATTTATCCGGAGATCCATTTAAATGTTGTCAGCTTCGTCTTTTTTGAGCTCCCTCAAGGTGACAAATGGCTTTCGTGAAATAGTTAACCATTGTTTGGGCTGGTTAGTGCCACAGTGAAGTCTCAAATGAAAAACAAACATCCTTTTGAAAAAACCCGGGCATTTACACACCTTCCACATATAGAATTGCCTTATCTTCACCGGTTCCTCCTGGCCAGATTTGTCCTGGCTGTGGGTTAAATTGGGGCTAATCTGGTTATACATGTGTACATTTTTTTTTTGTACTGTTCGTGCCACATCTTGTGGAAAGAAACAAAGGCTCCGAGGCTGTGGTCCTTTTAAAACCAGGGCAGTGTCACGTACATGTCGTCAGCTTGTGCCCCATTAGACCCCTTCCTCTGGGCTACAACACTCGGCTTCTGTGGGTGTGTTGGTCGGCCCTGGCCTGATTGGGTTCACACGGTGCCAGCTCATGTCCTCGAATCGATGTGGCAGGAGCGGCCTGGAACCTCCCAGAGAGAAAGAGAGAGGGCCATGAGAGGGCCTGGCACCACGTCTGGCCTGGCCCCGTGCCCACCACCTCAATGGTCTCTGATCTGCTCTTCTCGGCTCTGATTTTCTCCTCTAACCTCTTCTCCCTTCTCAAATTTCTCTTCTCCTATAATCTCTCTCTATCCCTTCCTCTTCTCTAACCTCTTCTGTCCTCCCCTAACCTCTCATTTCCTCTGCTCTGCTTTCCTATCATCTCACCTCTCCTTTCTCCTCTCATCTCCTCTCCTCTAATCTCTCTTATTGAGCTCAGTTCTCTAACCTCTCCTGTCCTCTCCTCTCTAACCTCTCTCTCTCCTCTTCCCTTATCTAACCTCTCTCTCTCCTCTTCCCTTATATAACCTCTCTCTCCTTCTTTCCCTTATCTAACCTCTCTTCTCCTCTTCCCTTATCTAACCTCTCTCTCTTCCCTTTCCTTCTAACTCTCCTCTTCCCTTATCTAACCTCTCTCTCTCTTCCTTATCAACCTTATCTTCATACTCTCTCTCCCTCTCTTCCCTTATCTAACCTCTGTCTCTCTCCTCTTCCCTTATCTAACCTCTCTCTCCTCTTCCCTTATCTAACCTCTCTCTCTCTCTCTTCCCTTATCTAACCTCTCTCTCTCCTCTCCTATCTACCTTCATCTAACCTCTCCTCTTCCTTATCTAACCTCTGCTCTCTCTCCTCTTCCTTATCTAACCTCTCTCTCTCCTCTTCCTTATCTAACCTCTCCTCTTCCCTTATCTAACCTCTCTCTCTCTCCTCTTCCCTTATCTAACCTCTCTCTGTCTCTCTCTCCTCTTCCCTTATCTAACCTCTCTCTGTCTCTCTCTCCTCTTCCCTTATCTAACCTCTCTCTCTCTCTCCTCTTCCCTTATCTAACCTCTCTCTCGCTCCTCTTCCCTTATCTGACCTCTCTCTCTCCTCTCCTCTTCCCTTATCTAACCCTCTCCTCTTCCCTTATCTAACCTCTCTCTCTCTCCTCTTCCCTTATCTAACCTCTCTCTCTTCTCTTCGTCTCCTCTCTAATTGGCCTCCAGTGGAGTGTTTGATTCCCTCTCCTGGGCGCTCACCATTCACTCTTTACTTTTGCCCTTTCTCTCTCTCATGCAGTCTTTTTTCTTCTCTATCTATCTCGCTCTCTCAACTCAAGTCTCTCTCGTCATCATAGACGATAGTTCCTCTGAGATACTTTAACTTGATCTAACGATGGCTTTTGATGATGACTGTGACACACACACAAGAGTATGTTGTTACCTACTGCATCTCACTCACATAATGTTTTCTCTCTGTCTCTTAGTAGGCTATTCTTCTATTGTCCTAGCCTTTATAGAATATGGAATATGAAGGACCACCACAGACCTAATGAAATCTCGTGGCCATCTATTGTGCATTACTCAAGAAGTCGGCCAAAAAAATTGAAACAACCGTAATTTCAGTATCATTATGATTGACTACATTATGAGCTCAGTCAATCATGTCGTTCTGGCTCATGCCCAAGTCAAACACTCACGCGTGCACACACACACACACACGCACACACGCACACACACAGCCATTTGTAGTGCAGGTTAGCTGACTGGAGTGGTTTCACAACTGGAAAAGCCAGCGTGGTATCCCCCACCAAAATGGTGGAATTTGCAATGTACTATGTGGCTGATAGAGTATTTTCTTGGATGTATCTATGGGGGCTGTGTGATACTTGAAACGACTCCCATCTGAAATCCTTGAACAGGGACTTGAAACTATAATTGAGATGTGTTTATCCTGCCTGAGTGCAGCTGTACTGTTTTGGAGCATCCATTATGCCTCTAAAGTACTATAGTACCCTCCTACAGTTCTAGATGTGCTCACACACACACACGTTTGTGTGTTTACTGCTTCCTGTCCAGAAGTAGTACATAACCTTGGTGAAAGGAACACACAATTACAGTAAAACCTAAAAACAGCCGTCCCTCAGTGACGACTAGCTTGTGAAGCACACAGAGTAAAAGCCATTTCTCTGACTGAAACATATTTGTAGGACTGTGAGTGGTCATTGGCAGACCATGGGCAATTCAGTTTTGCATATGGCATTTAAGTTGTGTATATATTTTAGTAGTGCAAGAGAAAAAAGGCATTGCACAAAACAAATATTTGTGTTCTGCTGAATCAAATGTATTATCAAGGTCCCCTGAAATTCATTTGCCCTGCTTAAAGAACGAGAGTGCTTCATGTTTTTGATTGGTTGCGGATGTAAACTCACTTAGCAGCCTTATTGGGTTGAGTTAAATTGAAACTGTATACTCCCCTGGTGTTAGGCAGATACGCAACCAGAGTTGATTTCTTTCGTTAATGGCCTCTTGATTGGATAGATTTCCCTGAAGAGCCTGCCAGCCTGACGGCCATGATAATGATGATGATACTTCTGCTTAAAGTCTATGGTCTAAGTGTATATCCAGTTAGGAGGCCACTATCTGATTTAGGATCAGCTCTACTTAGCAAGTATCACCTAATGCCAGCCTCACCCATCATCTGCACTACAACCACGCTGTCTCTGGATCAGTTGTAAAGACCACGCAATGTGTCCACACAGGATTCTCATACACTACCTACAGCTGTAGGTCAATCGACACTACTCTGTGGAGCTACAGTGACAGAAGGGTATTGTGTGGTTTTATATAGGTGTTTTACACATGGTCTGTTTCTGGTTTCCTCTCACAGGCAGTTTCCCAGATGCTGATGGCTTACCTCTCCCGCCTCACAGCTATCGCTGACAACAAGATCAACTGTGGGCCTGCCCTCACATGGATGGAGGTGAGCTTCTGTCTGGGTTTATGTCTGTCTATCAATCTCCCAAACACTCTACACAAATACACCACACATAAAACATAGTTTCCCATTTTTTCTCTCTCTTAAACACACCCGCTTACTGCTCCTCTCTTTCCTTACTCACTTACACATACTAGAACAGTAATTCACCAACCCAGTGTAATCGGTCTACATTGACAGACAGTAAATATGACACTAACTGTGTGTGTGTTTTCCAGGTTGATAACAAAGGCAACCACTTACTGGTCCATGAGGAGTCCTCCATAAACGTGCCTGCCATCGCCGCCGCCCATGTCATCAAACGCTACATCGCCCAGGCCGCCGACGAGCTCTCCTTCGAGGTGACGGGGAGAGTTGAAACACATTTGCGCATGCATGCACACACACTCACATGGACATACAGTGCATTCGGAAAGTATTCAGACCCCTTGACTTTTTCCACATTTTGTTATGTTACAGCCTTACTCTAAAATTGATTAAATCGTTTTTTCCCCCTCATCAATCTACACACAATACCCCATAATGACAAAGCAAAAACAGGTTTGTAGAAATGTTTGCAAATGTATTAAAAATAAAAAACTGAAATATTACATTTACATAAGTATTCAGACCCTTTACTCAGTACTTTGTTGAAGCACCTTTGGAAGCGATTACAGCCTCAAGTCTTCTTGGGTATGACGCTACAAGCTTGGCACACCTGTATTTGGGGAGTTTCTCCCATTCTTCTCTGCAGATCCTCTCAAGCTCTGTCAGGTTGGATGGGGAGCGTCGCTGCACAGCTATTTTCAGGTCTCCAGAGATGTTCGATCAGGTTCAAGTTCGGGCTCTGGCTGGGCCACTCAAGGACATTCAGAGACTTGTCCTGAAGCCACTCCTGCCTTGTATTGGCTGTGTGCTTAGGGTCGTTGTCCTGTTGGAAGGTGAACCTTCGCCCCCAGTCTGAGGTCCTGAGCGCTCTGGAGCAGGTTTTCATCAAGGATCTCTCTGTACTTTGCTCCGTTCATCTTTCCCTCGATCCTGACTAGTCTCCCAGTCTCTGCCACTGAAAAACATCCCCACTGCATGATGCTGCCACCACCATGCTTCACCTTAGGGATGGTGCCAGGTTTCCTCCAGATGTGACGCTTGGCATTCAGGCCAAAGAGTTCAATCTTGGTTTCATTAGACCAGAGAATCTTGTTTCTCATGGTCAGGTGCCTTTTGACAAACTCCAAGCGGGCTGTCATGTGCCTCCGTCAGGCCACTACCATAAGGCCTGATTGGTGGAGTGCTGCAGAGATGGTTCTCCCATCTCCACAGAGGAACTCTGGAGCTCTGTCAGAGTGAGGTTCTTGGTCACCTCTCTGATGTAGGCCCTTCTCCCCCGATTGCTCAGTTTGGCCAGGCGGCCAGCTCTAGGAAGAGTCTTGGTGGTTCCAAACTTCTTCCATTTAAGAATTATGGAGGCCACTGTGTTCTTGTGGACCTTCAATGCTGCATACATTTTTTGGTACCCTTCCCCAGATCTGTGCCTTCGACCTCATGGCTTGGTTTTTGCTCTGACATGCACTGTCAAATGTGGCTTATATAGACAGGTGTGTGCCTTTCCAAATCATGTCCAGTCAATTGAATTTACCACAGGTGGACTCCAATCAAGTTGTAGAAACAGCTCAAGGATGATCAATGGAAACAGGATGCAAAGGGTCTAAGTACTTATGTAAATAAGGTATTTCTTTTTTAATTTTGTTCTAAATTTACAAAATTTTCTAAAAACCTGTTTTCGCTTTGACATTATGGGGTATTGTGTGTAGATTGATGAGGAAAAAAAACAATTTCATCCATTTTAGAATAAGGCTGTAACGTAACAAAATGTGGAAAAAGTCAAGGGGTCTGAATTCTTTGTGAATGCACTGTATGTGCAGATACAAATGGAGATGTCATGGATAAATGGATGTGCTTGGATGCGGTAATAAATAATCGTATGTATTTTATGAGCACGTTGTTCTTTGCTGTATGGATACCATGACAGGTTATCTGCGTCATATTTACCGTAATTTTCGGACTATAAGCCGCGCCTTTTTTCAAATTTTTCGACCCTGCGGCTTATATAACGGTGCGGCTAATCTATGGATTTTTACAGCTAACGGCCACTAGAAGACCTCCTAAATCTATGGATTTTACAGGTTACAGTCCACCAACTTTAACTCTATGGGCTCTATGACCGGTCCGCTCCCCCCACGTTTAAGCGGCGGGCTCCAGCAAGAAAAGCTGGAGGCCGGAAAAGTGAGACAGGTTGCGTGCAAAAGTAAAAGTGGAACCGAGAGTGGTACGAGAGACAGAACGAGAGACAGAACGAGAGCAAGACAGACAGACATTACGAGAGCGAGACAGTTTGTGCAAAGGAAGTTTTCATACACAAACCCTCATTATGGAAAACAAACGTAGAAATGCATATGATGCAGCTTTTAAGTTAAAGGCAGTCAATCTGGCTGTCAAAACATCCACGATCATTAACGGGTTCCGAAAGGCTGGACTGCAGCGTGATGAAGAGGAGGACGCCGCCACAGCTGAGGCCCTTCAGAGGCTGTTCGATTCCGACAGTGACGAAGAGGAGTTCGTTGGTTTTGAGAGCGACAACGAAGGAGAGAGGAGAGTGGCTGACGAAGCCACCCTGAGCCTGTTCGTTTCCGACACTGAAGATGAGGACTTTGGTGGTTTTAGTACGCAGGAAGAAGACGGAGATGAGGATTAATGACTTGACTTTTCTGGTTACAGCCGTGTACTGCACCTTAGCCTAAAAGATGAAGACGAGGATTAATGACTTTTCTGGTAGGCTGATTACCGTATATTTTAAGCAGCCGTGTTGCTGCAACTTTAGGCTTACGCGCTTACTGTCGTGTTACAGGCACTTTATTTTGCACATTTAATTTAGCCATTGATATTGCCTCGTCAAGCGCTGTAAGCTTTATTTTGCACATTTAATTTAGCCATTGATATTGCCTCGTCAAGCGCTGTAAGCTTTGTTTTTTGTTATGGTACTACTGTAGGCTATAATGTAGATAAATATTCAAAGATGTGCACACTTTTTCAAGGTTTTTCAAAAATAACCAAAGTTAAGTGGTTAAATGATTGTGACGCTATTAACTAATTTTGCTGGGGAACCCCTAGCACTCCCTCAAGGACCACTGGTTGAAAACCACTGCTGTAGATCACTGCCGGTATGTGCGCTGGGAGCGCACCGTTTAAGTTTGAAAGTTGAAAAGTTTGTGTCTGAAACGCTATGTGATACAGTACAGTTTACACAGCACAGTATATGTTCTGTAGCTACTATTGCACTAAATGGTAACACTTGAATACGTTATGCAAATATGCAACTTGTTTGTTGAAATGTTAATAAATGGGAGCTTCCTCAAGCAGCCATCTCTTTCCCGACAATCCCCTCTGTGCACGAACCCTTACATATGGTAATTAAACATTAAAACACCTGCGGCTTATAGTCCAGTGCGGCTTATATATGTACACATCATTCAATATCATTCAATTTAGCTGCTGCGGCTTATACTCCGGTGCGCCTTATAGTGCGGAAAATACGGTACTCTTATACCGACGCCTTAATACATTACATTGTTCCTAGGGAGTTGTTTCTCCATTTCTCTTTTCACACACTACATGCAATTCTTATGTAGAAATACATTCTGATGCAGTCAGTGGTTCCCAAACTTTTCTTAGCAAGGTACCCCTAATAATACCCACCATTTCTATAGTATTGGTTAGAGTTAGTATGTAGTTTCCCCTCAAATGTATTCACAGCATGACTTGATCCCGCTATCCCGCTCTCTTCTTCTCTCTCCCACTTTCTCTTTCTCCTCTATCTCTCCCCTGACAGGTTGGGGACATCGTGTCTGTTATTGACATGCCCCCCAAGGAGGACACCACATGGTGGAGGGGCAAGCACGGCTTTCAGGTTGGTGACCCAGAAGCACACACACAAACACTGTGTCGCAGTCTAGAATCTGGGGGACTCCACAAGGCCAGGATTATTATTGTGCTTTACTCATTTGGTTCACATTTGGTTTGGCTGTTTAGCAAATTTTACTCTGTGTACAAATGTATATTGGCTCATATTGTTCATTTGGGTGAAACATTTTTCTTGTCAGTTAAAGACAGACATACTTACAGAATTGTATCATACAAAATGCGTACAAAATAAGTGGTTGTTCTCGATCGGGATGTGATTATATTAGCTTAGCTGAGTTTTCCAGTATTCCATTTAAAGTGATCAATAGTCTTTCTTTGAGCCCAATGAAGCCCAGTTTAGTGTTATCTGTTGATCCAGTCCAGCTGAACTTCCTGTGCCCTTAGCATTGAACCCTGGCAGTGTTCTGGTCATAGCTTACCCGTAGCATTGCCTCCTGGCAGTGTTCTGGTCATAGCTTACCCGTAGCATTGCCTCCTGGCAGTGTTCTGGTCATAGCTTACCCGTAGCATTGCCTCCTGCGCACTTGGCTCTCCGCTCGCTGCCCCGGGGGACAAACACTCTGATTCAGGCCAGCTGGGAGGGCAGCCATATTGGACGGGGCTTCACAACATGTTATTGAACGCAAGGACGATTGGGAACTTCGGAAGCTGTTGTTGCCTGTTGGTTTGTTGTACTGTAGCTGTGTATATGCTGAGTTGACAGAGGAGAGTAGTTTGTTTGTGGTTTTGGTATATTAAACAGATTTTTCAATTATGTAAAGCATGGCACTCATTCCTAGGAAGAATTGTCTCATACATACATGTCTTCAACAAAGATGTCACGACTATGTTATTACACACAGTGTTGGTCCTTAAAACCAATCTGGATTTTGGAGGAAACACCACTGTATGTTACTACTAGATATTGAAACATTGATTGGATGGTATATCTGCTATCACAAAGCAGATGTCCATGCCATCCCTCCTATTGCCACTGGAGGTCAGTCAGTCACCCTAGAGGCAGTCTGAGTCAGTCTGTGACTGGAGGTGGATAGGCAGCTGATAGCTGTCTTTATTTACCAGCCTGCCTGCAGAGCCTCAGGGAAAGAGAGGGGGAAAGAGATAAAGGGAGGGAAGGAGAGAGAAAGCTGGAGGAGCAACAGAGAGTGAGAAAGAGGGAGAGAGAAAATCCAAGCATGGCAAGGGTGAGCTTCTTTTGTTGAATGCGCATCATGAGTCAACTCTTTCTATAGTATAGTACTGTTTGTAAGTCGCGAGACAGCTGGACCTTGGATCCCTATGATAGTTACGTTCAACTTTCAACCGTCTTATCAGTCACATTACTACAAGATGGAGGCAGTTTATGTTGCAAAGCGTGCAGATTATATACTCCTAAGCAAATAGAAACACTTTTTTTGACAGTGTATTAGTGTAGTCTGGGTCTCTATGTTAGGCATCACACAAGTTAAGATTTGTTCCTCAGCGGACTAGATGATTAGTTGATAATGACAGAATTGTTTTGTCAAACTACTCTGCTGGGAATGGCTTTGTTTTAGCAGTTTCCCCCGTCTTCATTAAAGTGCGCTAAAATATTTATACCTCTTCTTCCTCCAAACTCCTTAAGTAAAGCCTAGTGTTTTATATTATTCTATTATTCAAAATGGATTTCTTAACACACAGTTTAGCCTGAAGGCATCTTATGTCGATTTGTATTGGTAGGATCAGTTGTGTTAGATCAGAAATTAGTTGTTTTACTCATGTTCATCGTTAATTCGTAAATACATTCAAAGATTAAGGATATTTTGCTTTCTGGTTGACTGTGGAGAATTGAAACTATCACAGTCTGTTCTTGACCTTTCTTCTGATATAAAACATTTGGGCTATACACACGCGCATGCAGTCAAACACACATATCGCCCCACTGGGCTTTACCTCCGCATCAGGTGACAAATACCATAGCTTGGGCAGCTATTCAGGCACATGATCTTGAATGAACACTGCAACGAGCACAGCACAGTGCCAAGTGGTATCCTCGGGTCAAAGTACGCCCCTCGCTGGTCGTGCACCAACCTTTTAGTACATATTAATACCAACTGCCTATGGACTCCTTAATACAGAGAGAGGTCTCCAACAAAATACCAGATACACAGTGGTGAAATGTTGATATTAGGCTCACAACATTGAAGAAGGGCCTTCTTAAGTGGATGAAGCTTATTTATCAGTCTTTAATGGTAATGCGCTCCCTTTCTCGCTCTCTCTCACACTCACACAAACACGTGGTTACTCATCCTCTCTGCTTACTCTCGCACTCTCTCTCTCTAAAAGTGTTGTGTGGCCTCTCTTCCCAGGTTGGCTTCTTTCCCAGTGAGTGTGTGGAGCTGATAAACGACAAGGTTCCGCAGTCCGTCACCAACTCGGTGCCAAAACCAGGTACTGTACTTCCTCTCTAACAACCACAGTGAGGTGTCCTTGAATCGCCTAATGTTCGTTTCCACTGGGTGCTATGCTGTTTTTGGTGATGTGTGGATAAAGTGTCAAGTATACCTTATCAAAAATGTGCAGTTGTTGTTGTGGCTTTGACATTATTAACTATGAACGACTAACTAGATATCTCTATTTCTGCTAGCAGGAAGCAATTGGTTATAGAAAATGTGTACCGTGTATATCAACATGATAGAGTATGATAATGTCTGGTGAGATGGGGGTGGATTCCCAACAATGATCTCATCTGTAAGTGTGTGGTGTGATGATGTGGTGGATGGGATGTGTGGTGTGTCATGGTGACCAAACTGCAGCAGGTGCTAGTGCCACTCTGTGGAGGAGTAAGGGTAATGCTCTACACAAGTGTCTGTCTGTCTCAGGCAAGCTGAGGCTAAAGCACCTAGCATTCCACCTGGGGGAAAACCAATCATGTCATTGCAAAGACCAAACAGCAGAGACCACCGAATGAGTGAAGTCACGACCAACCCAAACGTTTAACTGGCCTTTTCAAACTTATTTCAGGACTGGCTCCACCATACAATAGGGTGAATCCAAAAGGAAAGTTTAGTGAATGCAAAGGCCTAGGGATTGATTGAAGAGACTTGTGTATTCAACACAACGCTAGACTGCAAAAGAAAAACATAGTGTATTCGGAAAGTATTCAGACCCCTTGACTTTTTCCACATTTTGTTACGTTACAGCCTTCTTCTAAAATGAGTTACATTCTTTTTTTCCCTCATCAATCTACACACAATACCCAATAATGACAACACGAAAACAGGTTTTTAGAAATGTTTCAAATTTATATATATATTTTTAAAAAATACATTTTTTACAAAAGTATTCAGACCTTTTGCTATGGGACTCGAAATTGAGCTCAGGTGCATCCTGTTTCCATTGATCATTCTTGAGATGTTTCTACAACTTGATTGGAGTCCACCTGTGGTAAATTCAATTGATTGGACATGATTTCGAAAGGCGCACACCTGTCTATATAAGGTCCCACAGTTGACAGTGCATGTCAGAGCAAAAACCAAGCCATGAGGTCGAAGAAATTGTCCGCAGAGCTCCGAGACAGAATTGTGTCGAGGCACAGATCTGGGGAAGGGTACCAAAAAATGTCTGCAGCATTGAAGGTCCCCAAGAACACAGTGACCTCCATCATTCTTAAATGGAAGTAGTTTGGAACCACCAAGACACTTCCTAGAGCTGGCCGCCCGGCTAAACTGAGCAGTTCGGGAGAAGGGCCTTGGTCAGGGAGGTGACAAAGAACCCAATGGTCACTCTGACAGAGCTCCAGAGTTCCTCTGTGGAGATGGGAGAACCTTCCAGAAGGACAACCATCTCTGCAGCACTCCACCAATCAGGCCTTTATGGTAGAGTGGCCAGATGGAAGACACTCCTCAGTAAAAGGCACATGACATCCCACTTGGAGTTTGCCAAAAGGCACCTAAAGGACTCTGACCATAACAAACAAGATTCTCTTGTCTGATGAAACCAAGATTGAACTCTTTGGCCTGAATGCCAAGCGTGGAGAAAACCTGGCACCATCCCTACGGTGAAGCATGGTGGTGGCAGCATCATGCTGTGGGGATGTTTTTCAGCAGCAGGGACTGGGAGACTAGTCAGGATCAAGTAAAAAAAATGTAAAAATGTAAGTAAAGATGAACAGAGCAAAGTGCAGAGAGATTCTTGATGAAAACCTGCTCCAGAGCGCTCAGGATCTAAGACTGGGGCGAAGGTTCACCTTCCAACAGGACAACGACCCTAAGCACACAGCCAATACAAGGCAGGAGTGGCTTCGGGACAAGTCTCTGAATGTCCTTGAGAGGCCGGACTTGAACCCGATCTAACATCTCTGGAGAGACCTGAAAATAGCTGTGCATCGACGCTCCCCATCCAACCTGATAGAGCTTGAGAGGATCTGCAGAGAAGAATGGGAGAAACTCCCCAAATACAGGTGTGCCAAGCTTGTAGCGTCATTGTGGTCCTCTGTAGCTCAATTGGTAGAGCATGGCACTTGTAACGCCAGGGTAGTGGGTTCGATCCCCGGGACCACCCATACGTAAAAATGTATGCACACATGACTGTAAGTCGCTTTGGATAAAAGCGTCTGCTAAATGGCATATTATTATTATTAATATACCCAAGAAGACTCAAGGCTGTAATCGCTGCTAAAAGTGCTTCAACAAAGTACTGAGTAAAGGGTCTGAATACTTATGTAAGTGTAATATTTCTGTTTTTTTATAAACGTGTTAACATTTCTAAAAACCTGTTTTTGCTTCATCATTATGGGGTATTGTGTGTAGATTGATGAGGGGGAAAAAAACAATTTAATCAATCTTAGAATAAGGCTGTAACGTAATAAAATGTGGAAAAAGTGAAGGGGTCTGAATACTTTCCGAATGCACTGTAACTCCTAGATAATTATATTGATATCTTTGCTCGAATGTGATGTTACCGTATTGGTACGATATGTGTCCAATGTGAATTCCACTACTGGAACACAACATAAAAATGAAATCCATAGTTACCACGCTCTTGAATAACCACTTAAACTTGTCTCATGTCTCTGTTTGCACAATTTCAATACTAATCCAATGCAAACACATATTGCTGATCTATAGCTAGCCAAAGCAAACAGATAAGCCACCTCAGTGCCCAAAAACAAACATAGCCATTCAACACGCGAGTGTACCATAAAGCCCTATTACAATCAGAAAGTACAGCCACAACATTCCAATATCACTGGCCACTTTAAGAAATGGAACACTAGTCACTTTAATAATGTTAACATATCTTGCACTACTCATCTCATATGTATATTCTGTATTCTATAATATTCAACTGTATCTTAGTCCATGCCGCTCTGTCATTGCTTGTCCATATATGTATATATTCTTCAATGCCATTCCTTGCTTAGATTTGTGTGTATTGGGTATATGTTGTGAAATTGTTCGATATTACTGCACTGTCGGAGCTAGAAGCACAAGCATTTCGCTACTCCCGCAATAACATCTGCTAAACACGCGTATGTGACAAATAAAATGTGATTTGATAGGCGTAGTAGAAACTCTGTCATGCTTGGACTGACACCCTCTAACACAGGTAATGCTCTTAGATGGATCGTGAAAAGTGCAGCTTATGTCATGTTTTTTTTTAATGTTTTTGTTTTCTTTGTTCTTTTTGTCATGTCCCTGCCCATCTTCCAAAAACATCTGAAACCTCTTCAAAGAATATCTTAAATAACACATCTGTCTTATTCCCCCCCATTGTCTTTTTCTACTAGCACTAACTTTGCTGAGAACTTATTTATCGAGGACAAATGTACTTACTATGACTGTGAAATGTGGTTGTCTCACCTAGTTATCTTAATATGAATGCACTGACTGTAAGGCTCTCTGGAAAAAAGCGTCTGCTAAATGACTAAAATGTAAATGTAATGCCAAGCCCTTTCCATGGCATCCTGTCCTATCCTATATCCTGAAATGGTATCCTATACCCTATATAAAATGCACTACTTTTGGCCAAAGCTTCATTTGCTCTGGCCCAAAGTAGTGCACTATATAGGGAATAAGGTCCCATTTGGGACACAGCCCCATGTACTCGCTCGATCAGCCAAAGGCACGTTTAGCCTAATTTCAATCAGCCTTGAAAAATCACTTTCAATCCAAGGGGTGAATCACCCAATGACTGTGTCAGAACCATCTAAGTGGCTTTGGGGTGGGGTGCCGGGTAGGAGCTGAACCATGCAAGGCCTGCTGGGAATGATGTCAAGGCAGAGGGAACAGGGAAGTGATGACATGGCAAAAAAAAAGACACACCCCACAAGATCCGCAATGAGGAATAGCATCATCATAACTATGCAGTCTCAGGTTTTGTTAGGGGTTAAGGCCCAATGTTATCTGGTACACAAACGTAAAAGCCAATGTTTCCAAGCATATTAGATGGTGTTTTGTCAATATGAAAATAATGCATCATACTGTCTGTCATACTGTCACACATGGTGTCCTGAATGCACACAAAGAAGGCACACTGTGGAAATTACTCATTTGCTTGCCCAACCCTTTTGCTTTTAGGTGATCTCCTCTCTTTGGGTTGCCATGTTGGTCACAAACCTGACCATTTGCATGTCGTTTTTTTTGCACGGCTTCACTCTGCTCCATGAATGTTTAATCTTGTTGTTTATTTCACTGTCATCCCCTCTGCCACCCCACCCCAGCATCCCCCTGCTCGGGTCTGCGGCCTGCCTCCTGGAGTCTCTTCCCGCCCTGTGCGTGCTGGTATACACCCCCCTCTCCCATCCCCCTCACTCACACAAGACCCGTTCAAGGCATCCTTCATTCTTTCCTTCCTTGAAGTAATCAATGATAAAAAATGACTGGACAGGTAAAAGCCATGTGATGGAGCCATTGCATTCACCTCTCCAATTATGTCTAATCAGTGATTAGAGGAAGGTAGGAAGGATGCACTTTTAAAGAATTTGAACAAGGCCACACTTTCCTTACCTACATTGTTTCCTCCTTTCACACCTGGTTGTCAAATTCAATTTGTTCATTACAACACTTAATGCTACTTTTTACTGCCTGACACCAATTTTGACAGTGAAAATGATTGTATTTGCTGCCATTTCTTTCAATGGCACCTCTACAAAGTTTAAGGATTCACTGCCCAATTATGTATTATGAAAGTGTCAGATGCCAAGCTATCTGACTGAGTGACCGTCTCGAAACAGAAAAAAATATGTTGTTCCTGCCATGTTCCTCCTCTAACAGAACCGTTCTCTCCTTCTCCGTTCCCCCGCTCCTACCTTCCTCTCCTTCCCGTCCATCCGTCTGTGCGCCTGCATGCAGATTTGGAGATGGAGAGTGTAAAGCAGGACAATGCATGGGTGGCCGACCCATTAAACCACTACAGCCTGAGCTCAGGTAGACCCGTGTGTCCATCCATATATGTGCCATAACCACCTCAGTGCTAACCCTCTACTAACGCACACAGCACGCCACTGAGGCACTCTGTCTGTCAGTCTGTTCACTAAGTCTCTACAATACCAATGCACTAGGACTAGAGTCCTTAGTTAATTATTAGTTAGATACTCATCATTCTTAATTCTTAGTGCATTGGTATTGTATATTTCAGGATCCTTCTCTTTGGTGCATGGGGACTCACTTGAACTGCTAAATCCACTCACTCTCTAACCTGAACACTGTTGTCGGAGCGAAACGTATCCACCTTTATCAGATTCACTTGCACTAGACTTGATTAGCTTTGTTATTTACCTTTTTCATTTCAGGTTTATCAGGATTCCTTTTTGAACCGTTCTCTGTATATGCAAATGACTGGACTAAAAATATTATCCTGCTGCTTTTTTCTTCAGACCTCTTGAATGTCCCCCTATCTGTTTCCCAGTCAGCTGTAGTTGTCTACTGTTTGGTTTAACTTGAAATACTTTTGGCTGTGGCTGGGGTCTAGACTGGCTTGATTTATTCAAGTCCCCCCTTTAAAGCGGGGGCTATAAAATGATCCTTTGGCACATTGTCCTACAACAGCAAGAAGCACAGTCTTCTCTATGGTGACTGAAATTGCTACATTCCTAACAGGGGAACCCTGGCGTGTTCAAACGTACACTGACCAGCTCCCCTGCATGGAAAATGGCCTCTGTCCTTTTAGCAAGCTAACTGGGTTGACATTTCTACCTCTGTAATTTCAGAGTGAGCAGATTGAAATAACTCCTTTGCAGTTGGCTGCACCTCTATATCGAGATGCCTTTGAAATTGTCGATCTGAGTTACTGTGGAAAACGTTCGCATTTTTAACTTGAGTTTAAAAGGACATCTGCAAACTGTCTCACTTGGATGAAGGATTACAATGTAACTGAACCTAGAGTCCTTTTGTGTTACTTTCTTGACGTCTGATCTACACATTTAAACACTGAATTCCGAGCTACAGTGTGATCAGCTCTGCTCCTTTCTCCAGCTTGGCTGCTCCAGTAGGGCAGGTGTTTGTCCAGATGTTCTGACCCCGCTACTCTTTCCATCCCCTACTTCCTCCGTTGGCTGGAGCTGGCTTCCTGTCTGGGAACCAGTCTAGTGACTTGGGCAACTGTGAGGAGCGCAAACGAGCCAAGACAGCTGGATGTGTCTATGAGAAAAACAAAGTGAGAGATAGAAGGAAGGAGAGAGAAAATATGTGAAGGAGGCAGTAAGATTTGTCCAGCTTCTCCCCATGGGATTTTGGTCGACACGTCCTGGGCCGTGAAACTATGTTAGGCACAGAGATTGTATCAGAAACTTAAGCCCTCATTCTCTTTGATGCGGGATGAGGGTGCTCTCACCTACAATGACCCCTTGGGTTGTGTTTTTGGTGTGCACACAATGTGTGCATAGTACGCTAAGGTGAATACAAAGGCAATGGTTTGTTTCATTTAGGCTACTTTTAGGAGTGGTTGTTTGAGAGTAACCAAAAATTATCAAGGCGTTTCCCTTGTCAGTTAATTTGAGAACGTCAAACCACATTACACAGTTAATTCTTTGTCCGAGTGGAGATATTGAGAAAAGATTACCTGAGTCTAAAATGGAAGCTGTCTTCACCCTGCATGCATTGAATGTGTGTACAGTTCCACAAAATGGTGTGTGGTATATTCTACCACTAATTGCTTCTGTAGCATTGGTGCCCTGTAATATTGACAGATTTGTTGGTGCAGGAATATCAGTCCATCTTTTTCTGAGGTGGAATTTGCCCTTGCATCAGAATCTGCCACTTCATAGTAAATAGAGGATGTCCTTGTTGTTTGGCCTCAAGACAACTCCAACCTTAATTTATAAGTTCAAGTTTTTACTTAGAATTTCAATCGCTCCTTGATCACATTACATAGGCACCTCAAACCAACTTCGGATTGTTCACAAGGTAGGGACACCCTTTGCTTTTCCCAACAAGCACTTTCACGATTTTATATAAATATTATATAAATATAAAAAGCTCTTCAACCACGTGACTTAGCAACCTAATTTCAACTGTCCATTATTACTTACATAGAGGCATGTTGTACAACCTTAGCTTTTCTCATAAAAGGATTCCTTAATGTTTTATATATACTGAACAAAAATATAAACGCAACATGTAAAGTGTTGGTTCCATGTTTCGTGAGCTGAAATAAAAGATCCCAGAAAATGTCCATACGCACAGAAAGCTTCTTTCTCTCAAATGTTGTGCACAAGTTTTGTTTACATCCCTGTTAGCAAGCATTTCTCCTTTGCCAAGAGAATCCATCCACCTGAAAGGTGTGGCATATCAAGAAGCTGATTAAACAGCATGATCATTGCACAGGTGCACCCTGTGCTGGGGACAATAAAAGGCCACTCTAAAATGTGCAGTTTTGTCACACAACACAATGCCACAGATGTCTCAAGTTTTGAGGGAGCATGCAATTGGCATGCTGACTGCAGGAATGTCCACCAGAGCTGTTGCCAGAGAACTGAATGTTCATTTCTCTACCATAAGCAGTCTCCAATATCTTTTAGAGAATTTGGCAGTACATCCAACCGGCCTCACAACCCCAAACAACGTGTTACCATGCCAGCCCAGGACCTCCACATCAGGCTTCTTCACCTGCAGGATCATCTGAGACCAGCTACCCCCGACAGCTGATGAAACTGTGGGTTTGCACAACTGAAGAATTTCTGCACAAATTGTCAGAAACCGTCTCAGGGAAGCTCATCTGCATACTTCTAACCGTCCTCACAACAGCATAACACATGTATGATATCATTAGGGCGAGCAGTTTGCTGTTGTCAATGTTGTGAACAGAGTGGCGGTGGGGTTATGGGATGGGCAGGCATAAGCTATTGACAACCTACACAATTGCATTTATCGATGGTAATTTGAATGCACAAAAATACCATGATGACATCCTAAGGCCCATTGTGAGACCCATTTTTTTAAAGGTATCTGACCAACAGATGCATATCTGTATTTCCAGTCATGTGAAATCCATAGATTTCTTCCATAGCTAATTTATTTATTTTAATTGAGTGATTTCCTCATATGAACTGTAAAATCAATTAAGTTGTTGCGTTTATATTTTTGTTCAGTATAGCTCAAATCATTCGCGAGCTATGGATGTTTGTACGTCTGAATGTCTGGCGAATATCGAATCATTACCACGGTGAGTAACTTGATTTGAACACTTTTGTTCCAAGACAGTATATTCTTTCCTACCAAATATGCCACTCTGAGGCTCAAGATGGATTCGATTTTTCTATTAACGTACATGTTTTAATGAGATGCTCAAATTTTAATTTACATGTACTTGTATGTGGTTCGGGTTGTTGTGGGTTCATGTTGAAACTTGATATGGTTGTTATCATCGAAGTTATATATATATATTTACATAGCGAATGGCAAATTATTTAGTCATTTTTATTATACTGCAGACACCACGGCATTCATCTATTTTCAGCGTCATTAAACTATACAATGCTTGCGAGTGACATTTTCATATTCCTGCCTGCTCCCATAAAGAGAGGAATGAATTACCCAATTTGAAACGGAATTGCGGTCGTATTCTACATAGATTGGCACAGCGTTCCCATGCGTTGTCTTCTGACTAGTTTGGTTGTAAACTGACACGGGAAGGGGCTGGTCATTAACTGAAAGAAAAAAAAGGAAAGAATTCTGTGAAGAAATGTAGCTTGCTTAGCAATTGACGAGCGAGGTGCACACTTATCCGAATTGTCTTTTGACTGCTATTCACTGTCCACGGGTACCCTACGTTTTGTGATTGAAGGTTTGTCGGCGGTGTCTTTTGAAGTAATTAGTCGTTAAACAAATGATAAGGAGTTGCAGTTACAGTATGAGTGTCTAAGGAAATGTCTACAGTTTACCTTGGATTCCCTATTTAAAGTCCCATCATAAAGTGAGAATCCCACTGCGTTTCGCAGGTAAGAATGTATTACGGTATGGGATTTAATGTGTTGTAGCCTAGTTGTGTGCACTTCAGTTGAATGGGTTGAAGCTGTCTTTCCTTGCCCCTTAATTATTTGGCACCTTTTCACAGCTCATTGATTGACAACCTGAAATTAGGTTGTCAATCAATGCGCTCGAGCCGTTTTGTTGATCTTCTCTGAAATTTGTAACAATGTAACACTCATGGGGCAGTCATTAAAGGGATACTTCGGGATTTTGGCCATTGAAGACCTTATCTACTTCCCCAGAGTCAGATGAACGGTTTCCATTAGTTACCACAGCCACAAAGTCGAAAATTGCTTTTCGGTCTTAAAGGTTAGCTGTGTGGTTAATGTTAATGTTAAAATCACATTTTAAAGACGAGAAATTGTAGAAATAGGTGGGGTTTGACTTTGTGGCTGTGGTAACTAGTGGCCCGTTTGAAGGAAGTTGCAATTGCTGACTAACATTACATAGCTCTTGAAACTCAAATCAACCCTAACATTCCTTTGACAATTACCCTAAAATAAGTTAGTTGCTTCCTACCGAGTTTAATGAGGGTACCAGCCATTGCCCAACTATGTCACAGGTTAGGTTGATAGTGCTTTCCCAGCTTATTACCTTCAGTGACTGAGCCAGTTGTGAGGGTCTGTTAACATTCAACAGCAGTTAGTTATGTGTCTAATAGGCAGACCTATTTCTATGATTCAGATTCCTTCAGAATTCTCTTATGCTCACAAAAACAGTATTGAATTTTTATTACCCCCTTTATTGTTGTGGCAATGACATCATATAATGACATGCTTTAAATTGATTCATAGCTTTGAGATACCACAGTGATCCTTTAGAGGTATATTTGGCTTTTCAGTTTGAATGTCCTCAACCTTATCTCGACAAAGGCTGAGATGGATGTCTTACAAATCAGTTTCATGTGGACTTGCTGAAAATATGACGTCAAAATGAACTCACTCTGGTCCCCCAAGACAAATATTGCTCTATTTATTAGTTGTCGTTAGACTGAAGGACCATTTGCATAGTTGTCCTGTGAGACCACACACTTGTGGCTGACGTCGTCCCTCTCTCCTCAGCCAGAACTCTCTTACTCCAATGGGGTATTCAGCTTTGAACAATCAGCCATTCTGGCCTGGCTATGACACGCGCTCCAGCTCTCATAACAAAACAGAGGTCACTGTCTCCCAGGACCACGTTTAATAGGCAGATGCACGTCTACTGTTTGCTTGGGACACAAACTGGCTCCCATGGACACCATTGGCAATTAAAGATCTTTTTGGGCCACAGCTTGCATATAATTGGAGAATACTATTATACTGTGTTACTGTATTCATCTCTCAATGGTGTCATTTCTCAATATTCTATAGCAGTTGTCCCCATGGAGACCATAGGACCTACCTTGGTGAAGAATGTAAACATTGGCTCAAGGCAGCACAATGCTCCCCCTCTATAAAAATGCTTGAGACTAAAGGTGTCTGTATGCTTCCAATCCAGAACAGTTTGGAACAGTTCTTGCATATATTATGACTACATTTTGTGATGTTTTTGTTCGTTCTGGTCTTTGGCAAGGTTTTTTCCCGCTGTTCGTGCACACTTAATTTTTTCTCAAGGCAAGCCGAAGTCGGTAGTCGAAGTCTGCGCCCATTCGTCGGTGATCGGTCAACAGTAGGGATTTTTCATTGAAGTGTTTGTTGTCATTAAACGAGAGATGAATCGTTTTCATGCACAATTTTTCAATTGAGAAATACTTGGATGTAAAATTGTGAAAACGTCAAAATTAATGACTGATTTCTTGAGTTATCTTAGATTAATTCTGACTATTTTGAGGAAGTGTATACTGGCTACGGCGTCTCAAGATGGACAAACAGTACTATTGTCGCTTCTCATTTTTTAAACGAAGGTCTATTAAGGGAGTATGCGAGCACACTGGTTCGCGCCACCCGAATCGAAGTATGCGGAAGGCTTTAAGAGGGGCTGTTGTAAACTGGGGGATGGGGGGGTGTAATTGATTAGGTAACCGGAGCGTGAAGCCTGTTGAACGTGAGCAGGTTGCAATAAGGCTCTCCTAATAGAGCATGAAGTTGACATAATAGTTGGTTTCCTTGACATTCCTCTCCAGTAGTATTGTTGGATTGATGTTGCAAGTAGATAAGACCGCAATTGACAGACTTATATCCATTGGACTTTACTTGGAAATGCATGGTTTAGTTTCATGGCATTAGCATACCTTTTTTTGTCAGTGTTATCTCTGCAATCTAAGCAACAATCCCTATTCCAGAGAAGTTTCAACCAATGCCCCTCTCAAACACTAACTTTGACCTTGTGGTTTGCATCTACATTTGGCCTGCACGCATCCTTTGATTTGGCCTGCACGCATCCTTTGAAACGACCCAGCCTAATGGAATGGAATGTAGCGGTTGATGCGGGGCCGACAGCAGAGAACGAGCGTTATGTTTGCTATTACGCCGGTAACGGTTACTTTACCACACATCCGGTCCCAGAGCGCACTGGAGCCTCGCCTGTCACATGTGCGCTCCAGCAATCACAACTGTTTTGATAGCTCACCGTCTATGGCCTCTGGCCAAGCTTTGGCTCCTCTTCGTTTTTCTCTCTCTCCCCCTCTGTCATTATTTCTCCCTCTCCACATGTTAGTTCAGCAGCAGCTGTCATGGCGTGCAGAGAGTGGAAGGAACAGAAGAGGGGAAGAAAAAAAGACAATTGAGATCCTTATTTTTCCCACTGATATTCTGATCCAAACATTTCCCTAGATAATCTTAGGAATGGGCTGAGGAGGAGAAACAAAACTGTTGGCAGGAAATCTGGTTAATTAGAAATAGCTTTATCTATCGAAGATTACTGAGAGGATAGCTATGCAAAAGTGCCACGTGGAATGTTATTGTTAGAGGTGGGACCAAGTCATTATTATTCGAGTCACAAGCTCCAAATCTCAAATCGAGTCCCAAGTAGAACGGGTCAAAGTCGTGCATTCTAAGAGCAAGTCCAGTTTTTTTTTCAAACAAGTTTCAAGTCAAGTAAATGCAATGACTTACTGCAACTCCAAATCTTTGTCTATTTATTGAGGCTACCAGACAGCCCTTTTCATTATTTTGTTTCAACACATTTTGATTATGTAATTGTAAAATAGGGACATTGTAGCAGTTATGAGGACAAGAAATCAGCAGAAGGCATGGCAGGTTGACATTCTCAGTATATATTTATTTACAGGTGATGGTGAATGGTGAAAGTGCCATATCATACAAAATATACAAGTAGGTTTACCAAATATACACGAGCAATAGCCCAAAAGAGATAGGACATGTTAAGCCTGATAGAGAGGTCATCTGAACGGACACAGGTATAGGCCATGACTGCACAGCCTGCCCTTGAGAAACCAAATTGAATCTGTCTAACAGGAGCTCAAACAGATACATACAGTGAGGGGAAAAAAGTATTTGATCCCCTGCTGATTCTGTATGTTTGCCCACTGACAAAGAAATGATCAGTCTATAATTTTAATGGTAGGTTTATTTGAACAGTGAGAGACAGAATAACAACATAAAAATCCAGAAAAACACATGTAAAAAATGCTATAAATTGATTTTCATTTTAATGAGGGGAAATAAGTATTTGACCCCCTCTCAATCAGATAGATTTCTGGCTCCCAGGTGTCTTTTATACAGGTAACGAGCTGAGATTAGGAGCACACTCTTAAAGGGAGTGCTCCTAATCTCAGTTTGTTACCTGTATAAAAGACACCTGTCCACAGAAGCAATCAATCAATAAATTCCAAACTCTCCACCATGGCCAAGACCAAAGAGCTCTCCAAGGATGTCAGGGACAAGATTGTAGACCTACACAAGGCTGGAATGGGCTACAAGACCATCGCCAAGCAGCTTGGTGAGAAGTTGACAACAGTTGGTGCGATTATTCGCAAATGGAAGAAACACAAAAGAACTGTCAATCTCCCTCGGCCTGGGGCTCCATGCAAGATCTCACCTCGTGGAGTTGCAATGATCATGAGAACGGTGAGGAATCAGCCCAGAACTACACGGGAGGATCTTGTCAATGATCTCAAGGCAGCTGGGACCATAGTCACCAAGAAAACAATTGGTAACACACTACGCCGTGAAGGACTGAAATCCTGCAGGACCCGCAAGGTCCCCCTGCTCAAGAAAGCACATATACAGGGCCGTCTGAAGTTTGCCAATGAACATCTGAATGATTCAGAGGAGAACTGGGTGAAAGTGTTGTGGTCAGATGAGACCAAAATGGAGCTCTTTGGCATCAACTCAACTTGCCGTGTTTGGAGGAGGAATGCTGCCTATGACCCCAAGAACACCATCCCCACCATCAAACATGGAGGTGGAAACATTATGCTTTGGGGGTGTTTTTCTGCTAAGGGGACAGGACAACTTCACCGCATCAAAGGGACGAAGGACGGGACCATGTACCATCAAATCTTGCGTGAGAACCTCCTTCCCTCAGCCAGGGCATTGAAAATGGGTCGTGGATGGGTATTCCAGCATGACAATGACCCAAAACACACGGCCAAGGCAACAAAGGAGTGGCTCAAGAAGAAGCACATTAAGGTCCTGGAGTGGCCTAGCCAGTCTCCAGACCTAAATCCCATAGAAAATCTGTGGAGGGAGCTGAAGGTTCGAGTTGCCAAACGTCAGCCTCGAAACCTTAATGACTTAGAGAAGATCTGCAAAGAGGAGTGGGACAAAATCCCTCCTGAGATGTGTGCAAACCTGGTGGCCAACTACAAGAAACGTCTGACCTCTGTGATTGCCAAAATAGTTTTGTCACCAAGTACTAATTCATGTTTTGCAGAGGGGTCAAATACTTATTTCCCTCATTAAAATGCAAATCAATTTATAACATTTTTGACATGCGTTTTTCTTGATTTTTTTGTTGTTATTCTGTCCCTCACTGTTCAAATAAACCTACCATTAAAATTATAGACTGATCATTTCTTTGTCAGTGGGCAAACTTACAAAATCAGCAGGGGATCAAATACTTTTTTCCCCTCACTGTATAAGCACTTGGCCCATCCCAGGACCATACAATTACCCAACTGGCAATTACAACCAATAAATGGCAATTTCCACATCCATTGTTACATTTGTACACTCGTCTTAATCAGACTTAATGATTATTAATGATATTTCATCACCATTCATACATGGAACAATAATTTTCTCTTATTCACCGTACTGACTCCAAAGTGTGGCGCACATGCCATGTAGCATATTTCTATGCACACTGATGCACACGCGCTCCTGTTACGCACAACCAGAATGACAGAGACATAGGACACAGACGGAACTCCGAAATAACTTGAAATATGAACAAAGGAAACCATACCAGAGCCCGACAATGGAGCTCTCATTCGAAACCCAACATTAGCATGAATTACGTCAACAAGCAGTACAACATTACAATTATTTTCCTAGATGTGAGATAATTAACTTGTCTGTAATATCGTATAGCTTTGGAATCATGACATTACGTAATTTAGAGGAAAATAGGCAGGTTTCTCGACTCACTCTAACTTTGAGAAGGGATTGCATGACGATTTAGCTTAGCAAACGCGTGACGCAGCATGACACCGTGAACGCGATTGGTCGACAGTCTGTTGGGTGGGGCATTATATGTTCCTCCTTTCATTGCCCAATGGGATTCCTATCTCCGATCTGTTATCACATAATGTATTGTCTGTTGTTATGACAGGCACACGCTAGCTGTTCATTACAAAAATGTTTTCTTACGGAAACCATAATATAAATTACACTGTTATTCAATTGAAAATATATTGGCTTTATATTAACAGCAAATGTCATGCGCTGATGACTGAAAACGTTAATGCAGGAATTTCTTTCATCACATTCCCAGTGGGTCAGAAGTTTACATACACTCAATTAGTATTTGGTAGCATTGCCTTTAAATTGTTTAACTTGGGTCAAATGTTTCGGGTAGCCTTCCACAAGCTTCCCACAATAAGTTGGGTGAATATTGGCCCATTCCTCCTGACAGAGCTGGTGTAACTGAGTCAGGTTTGTAGGCCTCCTTGCTCGCACACGCTTTTTCAGTTCCGCCCACAAGTTTTCTATAGGATTGAGGTCAGGGCTTTGTGATGGCCACTCCAATACCTTGACTTTGTTGTCGTTAAGCCATTTTGCCACAACTTTTGAAGTATGCTTGGGGTCATTGTCCATTTGGAAGACCCATTTGCGGCCAAGCTTTAACTTCATGACTGATGTCTTGAGATGTTGCTTCAATATATCCACATAATTTTCCTTCCTCATGATGCCATCTATTTTGTGAAGTGCACCAGTCCCTCCTGCAGCAAAGCACCCGCACAGCATGATGCTGCCACCCCTGTGCTTCACGGTTGGGATGGTGTTCTTTGGCTTGCAAGCCACCCCCTTTTTCCTCCAAACATTACAATGGTCATTATGGCCAAACAGTTATATTTTTGTTTCATCAGACCAGAGGACATTTCTCCAAAAGGTACGATCTTTGTCCCAATGTGCAGTTGCAAACCGTAGTCTGGCTTTTTTATGGCGGATTTGGAGCAGTGGCTTCTTCCTTGCTGAGCGGCCTTTCAGGTTATGTCGATATACGACTAGTTTTACTGTGGATATAGACACTTTTGTACCTGTTTCCTCCAGGATCTTCACAAGGTCCTTTGCTGTTGTTCTGGGATTGATTAGCACTTTTCGCACCAAAGTACGTTCATCTCTAGGAGACAGAACGTTTCTTCTACAATTTCTTTTCTGAGGTCTTGGCTGATTTCTTTTGATTTTCCCATGATGTCAAGCAAAGAGGCACTGAGTTTGAAGGTAGGCCTTGAAATACATCCACAGGTACACCTCCAATTGACTCAAATGATGTGAATTAGCCTGTCAGAAGCTTCTAAAGCCATGACATCATTTTCTGGAATTTTCCAAGCTGTTTAAAGGCACAGTCAACTTAGTGTATGTAAACTTCTGACCCACTGGAATTGTGATACAATACATTTGTGGAGTGGTTTTAAAACGAGTTTTAATGACTCCAACCTAAGTGTATGTAAACTTCCGACTTCAACTGTAAGTAGCACAGATAGCTTGCTTGCTAGCTAGCTAGGCTAACTACATTGCTGGTTAGCTAGCCAGCTAATGTTAACCAAATGAGCATGTGATGAGGACAGGGCGGCTTGCTTGGTGAAGTGTACTTTTGATTATTTACTTATTTAATTACGCTGTTACTGGCTCTGGCAAGCTACTCACCGTCAAACCACCATGTCCACTCTGACTCAAGTCATGACTTACAGGCTGAATGATGTTCAATGAGCAGCTCGTAGAGCGCCCTCTTCAGGCAACCATTGAAAAAGTATATGTATATAATATCGCTGCTTTATCGGCGGAATAAAGACCGATACAAATATTTCTGAGAAAGGCTAATATCAGCCGATAATATCGGTCAACCGATTTATCGTTCGGGCTCTAAATAAGCAGAATTTCTACCTCATACGTCTTGCGAACGTTCATGTGCACAATAAACATCGTGCCCACTCAGAGGGTAAGAAATTGCTAATGAAAATGTATCAAACATGAAACATAAATATCTAAGTGTTGCAATAAACGCTACGGGGATGGAATGATGAAACGCCATTAATTATTGTAGGATTAGATGTAATATAGATTTACCACATATGCATTTAAATGTCTAAAAGCAACAGCAAACATTTCAACAAGAGAACAAAGCGCTCTCCACTGGCGGGAGTTTGGAGAGTGCAAGTGGAGAGATGTGCGTTCTCCAGTAATAATACATTTTAACAAATTCCAAATTCAAGCTTCATAAGTAAATTATAAATTTCAAGCAATTTTGAAATACCAAAAGGCCTATGCTAGTAATTGTTGCTTGATGCCCAATTCCTGGTGAGCTTGCAAAGTAAACAGTTAATTTTCTTGATCACCAAACAATTTTTGGAGCTGCATATTTATTTATTATGGCAATCCTCTCTCCCTACAATTTGACGTTTGCGCTGCACCCCATCCTATAGCTGTACAGCAAATCGTCTATCTGTCAATTAGCTCACCCATTTTACATTTACATTTTAGTCATTTAGCAGACGCTCTTATCCAGAGCGACTTACAAGAGCAATTAGGGTTAAGTGCCTTGCTCAAGGGCACATTTACGTCATTTAGCAGACGCTCTTAAACAGAGCGACTCACAAATTGGTGCATTCACCCGACCTGTGTTGATTGACAGTTTGCTGGTCCAATCAGAGGGCAGAGTGTGTGTTTAACTAGCCAATCTTTTGCACGTTTTTTTGCAAGGGTGATGCTGCGGCTACTCACTCTGGCTGCGTGGAGAGTCATCCAGGGAGACACTGCCACAAAATGAGTGACAAAATGTTACAAAATCTGGCCAGATAATTTCAAGTCATTAGTCTCAAGTCAGAGTCCCGAGTCATGAGGCTCCAAGTCAAGCCTCAAGTTATTTTATTTTCTAGTCCACAACAGTTGTTAGTGCCCTCTACAGTGGTACTTAACTGTGAAAGTTGTAAAGATAAAGAACAGACAGTAGCTGCTTTGTGTTGACTCTGACAGGCATTTATACTTAAAGTGTGTCCTTGTTTGCCTCTGCAGCCAGCATTATGTTGGCGTATTTCATACTGCTGCTTACAGTGCCTTAATAGGCCTAATTAATGATGGTTTCCTTTCAAAAAGTAGTAAAAGTATTTTATTACTGTATGAGCATCCTGACAGTCCGCCTCACCAGTTTTATCACAACAATGCTCCCCATAACTGTCAAAATTCCACACATATTTTTTAATCGTCTGCCAGTTGATTTTTTTTGTCCAAGTGTTCCACATGCAGATCTCAGGGTGAGACTGTTGGCTCTAATTTGACTTGATGTGGACCGTGGAGACTTCCACCCTGTCCAAGCATCATGGGAGCCACCCAACCACCCGAGGAGCAGCTCTCTGCCCCACTGGCATTTGATAGGTTTCCAGATGCATACCATGATATAAGAAGCTATCAGCAACCGCTGGGAAAGTTACATCACCCCGATCATCTAGCCCGGCTGCTAGTCTTAAATCTGAGCGTTAATGTTGCGGAGGACAGTGTGTTGCTTTACCCGACCGTGTGCGATAGTTTTAACCATATGGTTTTCATTTTGGAGGCTTTCGCCAAAGATTGATTAAACAATGAGCTCATCGTGGTTACGACGTCGACCACGAAGATTCCATCTGCTAGCCCCGGCCCGCTAGCACACGCTAGCCGTGGCCTCTTACTCGCTAGTGCTTTAGCAGCCTCCGAACTATCCTATTGCTGTTCACCGGACCTTATGATAACTCAGCTATACAGCTGATGTCTGCTGGACTGTTCCTTTTTACGGTACTACATCCTGTTTATGTTTAGCCTCAGCCCAAACATGGTTAGCTTATTGTTGTTTCGGTTATTTCTAATTGTACTATTTCACTGTAGATCCCCCAGCCCAGCTAAACCTGCCTTAGATAGCTCCTTTGTCCCACCCCCCATACACGCGGAGACCGACTCAATTGATGCCTCCAGTGATGCTATCTCTTTCATTGTTACCCAACGCTTAGGTTTACCTCCACTTTACTCATATCCTTCCATATCCTTGTCTGTACATAATGCCCTGAATCTTTTCTACAACACCCGGAAATCTGCCCCCTTTATTCTATGTACCCAACGCACTAGAAGACCAGTTCTTAAAGCCTTTAGCCGTATCCTTATTCTAGTCCTCCTCTGTTCCTCTGGTGATGTAGAGGCTAACCCAGGCCCTGCAGCCCTCAGTATCACTCCTACTCCCCAGGCGCTATCATTTGCTGACTTCTGTAATCGCAAAAGTCTTGGTTTCTTGCACGTAAATATCAGAAGTCTACTTCCTAAGTTTGAGTTATTCACTGCGTTAGCACACTCCGCCAACCCTGATGTTCTAGCAGTGTCTGAATCCTGGCTCAGGAAGGCCACCAAAAATTCTGAAATGTCCATCCCCAACTATAACATTTTCCGTCTAGATAGAACTGCCAATGGGGGTGGAGTTGCAATCTACTGTAGAGATAGCCTGCAGAGCTCTATCATACAATCCAGGTCTGTGCCCAAACAGTTTGAGCTTCTACTTCTAAAAATCCACCTTTCCAGAAATAAGTCTCTCACTGTTGCCGCTTGCTACAGACTCCCCTCAGCCCCCAGCTGTGCCCTGGACACCATATGTGAATTGATTGCCCCCCATTTATCCTCAGAGTTCGTACTGCTTGGTGACCTAAATTGGGATATGCTTAATACCCCGGCCATCCTACAATCCAAACTAGATGCCCTCAACCTCACGCAAATTATCAACGAACCTACCAGGTACAACCCTAAATCCGTAAACATGGGTACCCTCATAGATATCATCCTGACTAACATACCCTCTAAATACACCTCAGCTGTCTTCAACCAGGATCTCAGCAATCACTGCCTTATTGCCTGCGTCCGTAACGGGTCCGCGGTCAAACGACCACCCCTCATCACTGTCAAACGCTCCCTAAAACACTTTAGCGAGCAGGCCTTCCTAATTGACCTGGCCCAGGTATCCTGGATGGATATAGATCTCATTCCGTCAGTAGAGGATGCCTGGTTGTTCCTTAAAAGTAATTTCCTCTCAATCTTAAATAAACATGCCCCATTCAAAAAATACAGAACTAAGAACCGATATAGCCCCTGGTTCTCCTCAGACTTGACTGCCCTTGACCAGCACAAAAACATCCTGTGGCGTACTGCATTAGCATCAAATAGCCCCCGCGATATGCAACTTTTCAGGGAAGTTAGGAACCAATATACACAAGCAGTCAGGAAAGCAAAGGCTAACTTTTTCAAACAGAAATTTGCATCCTGTAGCACTAACTCCAAAAAGTTTTGGGACACTGTAAAGTCCATGGAGAATAAGAGCACTTCCTCCCAGTTGCCCACTGCACTGAGGCTAGGAAACACTATCACCACCGATAAATCTACAATAATCGAGAATTTCAACAAGCATTTTGCTACAGCTGGCCATGCTTTCCATCTGGCTACCACTACCCCGGCCACCAACTCTGCACCCTCCGCTGCAACTTGCCCATGCCCCCCCCCCGCTTCTCCTTCACACAAATTCAGACAGCTGATGTTTTGAAAGCGCTGCAAAATCTGGACCCCTACAAATCAGCTGGGCTAGACAATCTGGACCCTTTCTTTCTAAAACTAGCCGCCGAAATTGTCGCTACCCCTATTACTAGTCTGTTCAACCTCTCTTTCATAACGTCTGAGATCCCCAGAGATTGGAAAGCTGCCGCGGTCATCCCCCTCTTCAAAGGGGGTGACACTCTAGATCCAAACTGCTACAGACCTATATCCATCCTGCCCTGCCTTTCGAAAGTATTTGAAAGCCAAGTTAACAAACAGATCACCGACCATTTCGAATACCACCGTACCTTCTCCGCTATGCAATCCGGTTTCCGAGCTGGTCATGGGTGCACTTCAGCCACGCTCAAGGTCCTAAACGATATTATAACCGCGATTGATAATAGACAGTACTGTGCAGCCGTCTTCATCGACCTGGCCAAGGCTTTCGACTCTGTCAACCACCGCATTCTTATTGGCAGACTAAATAGCCTTGGTTTCTCAAATGACTGCCTCGCCTGGTTCACCAACTACTTCTCAGATAGAGATCAGTGTGTCAAATCGGAGGGCCTGTTGTCTGGACCTATGGCAGTCTCTATGGGGGTGCCACAGGGTTCAATTCTTGGGCCGACACTTTTCTCCGTGTATATCAATGATGTCGCTCTTGCTGCTGGTGACTCTCAGATCCACCTCTGCGCAGACGACACCATTTTGTATACATCTGGCCCTTCATTGGACACTGTGTTAACAAACCTCCAAACGAGCTTCAATGCCATACAACACTCCTTCAGTAGCCTCCAACTGCTCTTAAACACTAGTAAAACTAAATGCATGCTTTTCAATCGAACGCTGCTGGCACCCGCCCACCCGACTAGAATCACCACTCTCGACGGGTCTGACCTAGAGTATGTGGACAACTACAAATACCTAGGTGTCTGGTTAGACTGTAAACTCTCCTTCCAGACTCACATAAAGAATCTCCAATCCAAAGTTAAATCTAGAATCGGCTTCCTATTTCGCAACAAAGCCTCCTTCACTCATGCTGCCAAACATGCCCTCGTAAAACTGACTATCCTACCGATCCTTGACTTCGGCGATGTCATTTACAAAATAGCCTCCAACACTCTACTCAGCAAATTGGATGTAGTCTATCACAGTGCCATCCGTTTTGTCTCCAAAGCCCCATACACTACCCACCACTGTGACCTGTACGCTCTTGTTGGCTGGTCCTCACTACATGTTCGTCGTCAAACCCACTGGCTCCAGGCCATCTATAAATCACTGCTAGGCAAATCCCCGCCTTATCTTAGCTCATTGGTCACCATAGCAGTACCCACCCGTAGTCTGCGCTCCAGCAGGTATATCTCACTGGTAATTCCCAAAGCCAACACCTCCTTTGGCCGCCATTCCTTCCAGTTCTCTGCTGCCAATGACTGGAACGAATTGCAAAAATCTCTGAAGCTGGAGACTCTTATCTCCCTCACTAACTTTAAGCATCAGTTGTCAGAGCACCTTACCGATCACTGCACCTGTACACAGCCCATCTGAAATTAGCCCACCCAACTACCTCATCCCTATATTGTTATTTATTTTGCTCTTTTGCACCCCAGTATCTCTATTTGCACATAATCTCTTGCACATCTAGCATTCCAGTGTTAATACTATTGTAATTATTTTGCACTATAGCCTATTTATTGCCTTACCTCCATAACTTGCTACATTTGCACACACTGTATATATATTTTCTGTTGTATTTTTGACTTTATGTTTTTTTACCCCATATGTAACTCTGTGTTGTTTTTATTGCACTGCTTTGCTTTATCTTGGCCAGGTCGCAGTTGTAAATGAGAACCTGTTCTCAACTGGCTTACCTGGTTAAATAAAGGTTAAATAAAAAATTTAAAAAATCATTGTCCCGCAGTCAATTAGATTTTCTGAAGAGCATCTCTCGAATTGCCCCTTCGCTGTCAGCAGAGTTGACATTGAGCAGAGCAATCTTCAGGCTTGCGCTCCTACCCGCTTCAGTTGATGTGGGCTCCTAAATAACAGTGACAGTCGGTGTAAGCCGATACAATTGCTCCGTCAGCACCCACATGTTTTGCAAAGCCCTTTTGATGCCTCAACGGTTGGTAAACAAAGCTGCTTCAGCAGTTTGTGGTGGGATACAGCATCAAGACATTTCTCACTTTCTCACAGGGGAAATCCTAGCTCCACTTAGCTTGAAATGAAGCAATACAGAAAGTATGGTTCATGATTTAGAAGCAGTGTGCTTCTCATCAATTGTACTCAATATAAACAAGTGAAAGTGCTTTCGACTCTATCTCTGGTAGGGCTGAGCCCAATTAGTCGACTGGTCTATTGTTTGGTCGATAGGCTGTTGGTCAACCAATATTTATTTTTTTGTCGAGCAGTAGCAAATATAGCTACACTGAACAAAAATATAAACGCAACATGTAAAGTGTTGGTCCCATGTTTCATGAGCTGAAATAAAAAATCCCAGAAAAGTTCCATACGCTCAAAAAGCTTATTTCTTTCAAATTTTGTGCACACATTTGTTTACATCCCAGTTAGTGAGCATTTCTCCTTTGCCAAGATAATCCATCCACCTGACAGGTGTGGCATATCAAGAAGCTGATTAAACAGCATGATCATTACACAGGTGCACCTTGTGCTGGGGACAATAAAAGGTCACTTTAAAATGTGCAGTTTTGTCACACAACACAATGCCACAGATGTCTCAAGTTTTGAGGGAGCATGCAATTGGCATGCTGCCTGCAGAAATGTCCACCAGAGCTGTTGCCAGAGAATTGAATGTTCATTTCTCTACCATAAACTGCCTCCAAAGTCGTTTTAGAGAATTTAGCAGTACATCCAACCGGCCTCACAACCGCAGACCATGTGTAACCACGCCAGCCAAGGACCTCCACATCCGGCTTCTTCACCTGCGGGATCGTCTGAGGGGGGTAGGAGTATTTCTGTCTGTAATAAAGCCCTTTTGTGGGGAAAAACTCATTCTGATTGGCAGGGCCTGGCTCCCCAGTGGGTGGGCCTGGCTGCCAAGTGGGTGGGCCTATGCCCTCCAAGGCCCACCCATGGCTGCACCCCTGCCCAGTCATGTGAGATCCATAGATTAGGGCCTAATTTATTTATTTATATTGACTGATTTCCTTATATGAACTGTAAGTCAGTAAAATCTTAGAAATTGTTGCATGTTACGTTTATTTTTGTTCAGTATATTATTTTATGGCACACAAGACACCTGTCTTATTCGCGCCCATCTCAGTGAACTAATCCCTTGCGGCGGCCGAGACTAATCCATTGCGTAGGCCGCGCCCAAAAAGAAGGGGAGTGTTGCTAAGATGCACAATGCACATCTCTCTTCAGTATGCGCTCTCTCCCGCCAATTTGTGCACATTCATTGTTTCGTAACTTAATTGTGTGAATTGTTTGCGTTTGATTGTTAGTGTCTATTAATTCCCTATTAAATATATCACCAGTAGGACATTTACCGTTAATTTCTATCATTTTTAATCTACAATGTTTGTTTGGTTACAGTAATTTCTGTTAATGCATTCAATATATTATTATTCCAGTCTTTTACTTTTGAGAAACAAGTTTTGGTTTATTTAATTGCATTTTTGAATTTAGTCATTGTCTTTTGTTTGGAGCGCTCCTGTCAATGTTGAATAAGGACGTGCACCTGATTACGCATAGATGTAGGCCTATAGGCTACCTGGCCTGCGCGCAAATGTAGGCATATAAATGTGCCCATTTGGGGATCTGATAGTATTTCTGATTGGCTTAACGCATCACCACTAATGAGCTGTGGAGCTTCTCAAGGTAATGTTTTCTTCACCTCAAACAGCAAGCAAACAAAGTCTGTTTTTACATCCATTGAAAATGACAATAGTTCCTCAATGTATTTGAATTCTCCCTTTCGATAACCACTCAACGTGAAAGGGAAAAATGTCATGCTCTGATCCAGTGGAAACATCATAAAATAGGCCTACCTGGTTACTTCTTATACCTTGCTCAAATAGCCTACAGCTTTGTCTGTCCCGAGCTCACTGGTGCAGGAAACTCTGAGGGCCCAGAATATTTTATACAATGTTGCAAGTTTGCAAGCGCGAGCTTCGGGCCAGACCCAAGTTAATAGTTGATGCAAGGTTTCAAGTTTGTTGCAGACAGGCCATGCGTAACCAATGTGATTTATAGGATATTTATTTTTAGCAGGGTATTTTCTACCTGCAGGCTGCAATGTTTATATTTGTTGGTTTTATTTAGGGTATTTTTACATAGTTGGCAATGGCAATAGAAGTACCATATAGGTTTGTATCATTTTAATTTAGATTTTAATCAAATTCTGATTAACCACATGACTGATTTTGAGATACGAAGACATTATTATTAAATAAAATGAAACTGTTCCATGAAAATGTGCATATGAAAACCATAACTGGGACGCAGATCGGTAGAAATGGTAAGATAAAGTGGCATTCCACATGAGAAAGGTTGCCGACTCCTCGTGTAGCCTATTACCGGCAACGGCAGAATCTGCGAAAGCCAGCAGGAGCGGGAGGAGGATGGTCAGGTGAATTGTTTTAAAATCTGGTTATCTTGATCTCTTGCTCCCTCCTGAGTCATTTGTGTCTAATTTCATCAAACAGAGTGCTCAAAGCATATAGTTGATTTTATTAAAACACATAGGGTGTGTCTATATATGAAAAAAAATAAACTTTTTTAAAAATGTCAACCAATTGATTGGTCGAAAGAACAGACAACTTTCGGTCTACCAAGTTTTTTTTTGTCCGGGACAGCCTTAATCTCTGGTGAAGAGAGTGGAGTCACTCAGACAAGTTGTGTCCCTGGAATAGGGTAGCTTATTTGTTTGTATTCTGTAGAGGGAATGTTGGTTCCCCTGCAACGTGTCAGCCAATCTACAATTTGCAGTGGAGGATTTGTGAACAAAGGTTTGCGGGCATGCCAACTCCATTGTTCTCTCCAAAAGCTGAGGTTTTTCACTTGATAGCTTTTCCGTATTGTTCCCTATGGATAAAACAACTGGGCCCATACTTGAAAGGCTTAGACCTTTTTCCAGACCCATTCATTGTCTTGTGAAGCTGGGGTCATACAGTCTCAAAAAATCATCCCATGTTGTAAAAGAAGGGTTGGCATTAGAAGAAAAAAAAACTGTTTGTCACAGGGACTGGCTTATTCAGACTTTTTCCCACCTCTGGTGTGTTATGTTTCCATTGAACCTTGGATTGACAATTTTGAAAAGATCTAATGAAAGCAAGCTGACTTTACTGGTATGCATGCATCACTTTGCACAGCGTTATTTCACGTTGCACTGATGGTCAACACCAGCTGAACACCTGCGAGTGTGAGAGTGTATTAAACATATTGTGTGTTTCTCTGTTTCCGGCAGTGTCTAAGAAGCACGGGAAGCTGATCACGTTCCTGCGCACCTTCATGAAGTCCCGGCCTACCAAGCAGAAGCTGAAGCAGAGGGGAATCCTCCGGGAGAGGGTGTTTGGCTGTGACCTGGGAGAGCACCTCCTCAACTCGGGCCACGATGGTGAGATTTACGCTGTCTTTCACTCTCTCTGACTCTTGCTCTCTCTCACAAACACAGACACAGTCTATCTTTCACACACACATACTGGCAGAAGTTCTTCAGCTTTGACCTCATTTGTGGTGTTGGCGACTTGAAACGCACACATGTAAACACTAACATGCTGAGGGGTGTTCTCAGGATGAACAGTCGCCCTTCTTTGTGCATGATGGTCACTCACACTATGGTAAAAGTGTCGACTAGTCTCCACCTAACATTGGCTGTAAATCAAGGCTCGGCTCAACTTGGCTCAACTCCGGTAGAGGCTAGAGCAAGGTTGAGCTGTTGAGAGTTCAGGTGGGCCTTCACGTTTCAGCAAACAAAGGAGAGGAGTGCTGCTCAACAACAGTGACAAAAATCATGAGAATGGCTTACCAAGAAAAACTTCCAAAAGGACTAATTCGAGGTAAAAAGGAGTTGGAGCACTCAACAAAAAAAATGCAGAGTAATTTGTTTGCTCACTTTAGTCCATTGTTTGGCCCATTGACACGCAATGTAAAAAAATATATATATATTATGATATGTTTCAAGGTAAATGGCAAATTATAGCACAAAGTAATAAGATAAATAGTGTGTCTCGTTAATCAATAGGCCATGTCTAAATATACATAGGTGATATTTGCGTGTCTGTGAATCTGGAGACACAGAGATCCAAAAAATCAAGGCAACAACATTATAGAAATGAGGACAGTGAAAAATCATCATTTAGCCCTTTTGGATCCACAGTGTCTAAGGAGTACTGCCAGAATGCCTCTTTGTTTTAATTTGCGTACAATATTAATATTAATTAATATGCCATTTAGCAGACGCTTTTATCCAAAGCGACTTACAGTCATGTGTGCATACATTTTTGTGAATGGGTGGTCCCGGGGATCGAACCCACTACCTTGGTGTTACAAGCGCCGTGCTCTACCAGCTGAGCTACAGAGGACCACTATATCACCTCCTTGGTGAAATTTTTACATGTTCTATGGCTACATAGCGCCGGGAGGAAGGTGTGCCATGGATGGCTTCGATGCAGTGGCGCGCAATAGCATAGTCCGTGTTTTTGTTCTGCAATGCGAAGTTTCAATGCAAAGTTTAGTTTGACCAATATACAGTAAGCAGCCCAGCAGATACATTTGAGCATGTATATGACATCTGTGGTGCTACAATGACTGAATCTTTTGGATTTTTTGTATTCTTTACCTGTTCTCGGGTAAACAAATGCGAGGGTGGCAATGTTGTGAACTCTCGTACATTTTGGATCTCTTTTGAGGATGTTCCAGTGTTTCAATACAATGCAACCCAGCACATGGGCTATACTCCGTGGGAAAACACAAACGTCCTGGTTTCTATTAGTGCCAGTGAGAGGGCTTTGACGTTCATTCTCTCTACCACGGGTATAGGCCTGTTCAATGACACCCTTCTCATACCAGCATTGCAGGAACTTGGTGCGCATATCATTAACTTTGCGCTCTAAATCTATGTCTGTACTACAGTTAAGTCTGAGTCTTAGGAATTGACTCACCGGTATGTTCCGCTTAAGATGTACCGGGTGGTTACTGTCTGTGCGTAAAAGTGTATTCTTACTTTGTGGCTTGCGGAAGATAGTAGACTCCAACTTGTTTTCTTTGTTAGTGGATTGTAAGATCCAATAACTATTTTCTCCTGACTTCTCTCTACTGTGAATTTGAGATAGGGGTCAGATAAGTTAATATAAGAAATTAATTCTGAGGTTGAGCTGTTGTTGACTGATCCATACAGCTCTACGGGCCGGGCATGCAGAGTGAACCCGACCACCCCCTGTGCCCTGGGAGGGTTGCCACGGCGACACTGGTGGCTTACAGAAGGTGTAATGGTCAAGTCGGCAGTGTGGTTAAAGAAAATTTCTCCTCTCCACTGATCTGGAGCCTGAGGGATCTGGCAACACATGCTTTGTTTGCCCCCAAATCCATCCTGAGCCATCTGTTCTGTCAGCCATCTTCACCACTACTATCCTCTTCTGCTCTGTTCAGATTGGCCGCCACCACACTGCATTACAGTGGCAGGACTCTTACTGTTGCACAAGTACAATACTGCCCATGTCGTCAGTGGTGTGGCTTTAGGAGAAGCAGGCGTCCATCCAGGAAAGGATAAGACTAATTGATGGGTTTATCTTAGGCAATTCGTATGCTGTGTACATAGCCCATATTCAGCTTATATTTGAATGGCATTGATTTTAGATTTGTTAGTGAAGAGTCAGACAGTCTTCCTTCCCCGTTGGAAACCTGACGTCAAATCACATGCCTTGAGTTGTCCTCATTATATATGCACGTGCTGTGTGTGTTTGCGCACACATCTGTCATGTGAGAAAGGAGATGACAGACTTGCGGTCTCAGAGATGGTAACTCTTATGACAGACAGCCAGTCAGAGCTGTCTGAACTGAGATAAATGTCAAACGACACGACCATACTTTACCTTTCAAACTGGAGCAGAGCAGCGCTCCCCAACAGTAACGAGATAGGGGATGACACCAGGGATAGATGACATGACATCACTGCACAGCTCCGGAGATTATATCTGTCCTGACTTTATGGCTAAGCCTCAGTTGCTCTATGTCTGTATGAGCAGCACAGCTTTGATACCAAGCTGGCAAATGTCTTGTTTGGGTGTCACATAAATGCAGGCCTAGACAAATGTTGTTTTATGATGTCATAAGCTAGCTTCTCCCTCGTGTAGATGTGCTTAAGGTAACTCCTCTATCGTTGACTATTGTCATACATGATAACGCTAGTCATAAGAATTGTATTTTCTTCACACACGCCAAACAAGTTAAGAGACTACAGATTACAAAGACAGAACCCAATAAAGACAACACCCTTAAAAGGCAGAATCCTTAGTGCAGAACCCATATAAAAACAGGATAGTATTGCTGAGCCACTTTCACCTCCATGTGTAGTGTTTGGAATGGACTGTGGGAAGTTTAAGCTGTACCTGTAGGTGCTATCTAGAACCTAAAACGGTTCTTCGGCTGTCTATATGGGAGAACCCTTTGTAAAACCCTTTCCACAGAGGATTCTACATTTAACCCAGAAGAGTTCTACCTGGAACTAAAAAGGATTCTACCTGGAACCAAAAAGGGTTCTCCTTTTGGGGACAGCCGAATAACCTTTTTTTCTAACAGTGTATGTCTTTCATACTATGTGTGGAATTTGGTGGAACAGCTGCTTCCGAGATGGTCTCACTCTGTCAATGTGCAAATGATGTGTGTCACGTGTGGGGGTGAGGGAGCCCCCATGTACACGCACGTGCATGCACACACAAACACCCACACCCACACCCACACCCACACACATACAAAGAGACTCGCATACATATTTTGATTGACTACCAAACACACACACAACAGCCCAATGACCATGCTCTCACTCTCTCTTTCCCTTCTCTCGCTCGATCTCTCCCTCCCCTATATTTCGCTCCCCTCTCTCTCCTCTCTCCTCTCGTCTCGATTCAATTCAATTTAATTCAAAGGGCTTTATTGGCATGGGAAATGTGTACATTGCCAATGCAAGTGTGAAAAATGTATGCAGTCACTAACAGTAAGTCGCTCTGGATAAGAGCGTCTGCTAAATGACTAAAATGTTAAATGTTAAGTGAAATAGACAGGAAATAAACAAAGGAAATAAACAATCAAAAATGAACAGTAAACATTACACTCACAAACATTTTGAAAGAATATACACATTTCAAATGTTTTATTATTGGCTATGTACAGTGTTGCAACAATGTGCAAATAGTTGTAGTATTAAAGGGGAAATAAACTGGGTGTATTTACAATGGTGTAGTCCCCTGTAGCTCAGTTCGTAGAGCATGGCGCTTGCAACGCCAGGGTTGTGGGTTCGTTTCCCACGGGGGGCCAGTATGAAAATGTATGCACTCACTTAACTGTAAGTCGCTCTGGATAAGAGTGTCTGCTAAATGACTAAAATGTAAAATGTAAATGTAAAATGTGTTTGTGCTCCACTTGGTTGCCCTTTTCTTGTGGCGACAGGTCACAAATCTTGCTGCTGTGGTGGCACACTGTGATATTTCACCTAATAGATATGGGAGTGTGTCAAGATTGGATTTGTTTTCAAATTCTTTGTGGATCTGTGTAATATGAGGGAAATATGTCTCTCTGATATGGTCATACAGTTGGCAGGAGGTTAGGAAGTGCAGCTATTCTCTTGAGAGCCAGGTCTGCCAATGGTGGCCTCTCTCAATTGCAAGGTTTTGCTCACGGAGTCTGTACATAGTCAAGGATTTTCTTAATTTTGGGTCAGTCACAGTGGTCAGGTATTCTGCTACTGTGTATTCTCTGTTTAGGCCCAAATAACATTCCAGTTTGCTCTCTTTTTTCGTTGATTCATTCCAATGTGTGAAGTAAGAATATCTTTGTTTTGTCATGATTAGGTTGGGTCTAATTGTGTTGCTGTCCTGGGGCTCTGTGGGGTCTGTTGGCAGAGGGGACTCTTCTTCAGGTTCATCTCTCTGTAGGTGAGGGCTTTGTTATGAAGGTTTGAGGATCACTTATTTTTAGGTGGTTGTAGAATTTAATTGCTCTTTTATGGATTTTGATCATTAGCGGGAATCGTCCTAATTCTGCTCTGCATGCATTGTTTGGGGTTTCACGTTGTACACAGAGGATGTTTTTGCAGAATTCTGCATGCAGTCTCAATTTGGTGTTTGTCCCATTTTGTGAATTCTTGGTTGGTGAGTGGACCCCAGCCCTCACAACCATAAAGGGCAATGGGTTCTATAACTGATTCAAGTATGTTAAGCCAGATCCTAACTGGGATGTCAAATTATATGTTCCTTTTGATGGCTTAGAAGGCCCTTCTTGCCTCTCAGATCGTTCACAGCTTTGTGGAAGTTACCTGTGGTGCTGATGTTTAGGCCGAGGTAGGTATCGTTTTTTTATGTGCAATAATTTTTGTCTTACTGAGATTAACTGTCAGGGCCCAAGTCTGACAGGATCTGTGTAGAAGATCTAGGTGCTGCTGTAGGCCCTCCTTGGTTGGGGACAGAAGCACCAGATCATCTGCAAACAGTAGTCATTTGACTTCAGAGTCTAATAGGGTGAGAGCTGGTGCTGCAGACTGTTCTAGTGCCCTCGCCAATTCATTGATTTATATGTTGACGAGGATGGGGCTCAAGCTGCATCACTTTCTCACCCCCTGGCACTGAGGAAATACATCTGTGTTTGTTCCAAATTTTTAAGAGCACACTTGTTGTTTGTGTACATGGATTTTATAATGTTGTATGTTTCCCCCCCCCTCAACACCGCTTTCCATCAATTTATATAGCAGACCCTCATGCATTTTGTTTTGTTTGTTTGTCAGTAAGGGTGTGCAGGGTGATTACGTGGTCTGTCATACGGTAATTTGGTAAAAAGACAATTTGACATTTGCTTAGGACATTGTTTTCACTGCTGTTAATGATAATGCAGATAACTTTCACAAGGTTGCTGTTGGCGCATATCCCACGATAGTTATTTGGGTCGAATTTGTCCCCACTTTTGTGGATTTGGGTGATCAGTCCTTGTTTCCAAGTATTTTGAAAAATGCCAGAGCTGAGGATGATGTTTAAGTGTAGGCAATTTGAATTTTTAGTCTGTATATTGTATCATTTAATTTAGGATAACATCAACACCACAGGCCTTTTTGGGTTGAAGGGTTTGTATTTTGTCTTGTAGTTCATTCAGTTTAATTGGAGAATTCAGTGGGATCTGGTAGTCTTTAATTGCTGACTCTAAGATTTTTAATTGATCATGTACTGTATATGTTTTTGCTGTTTGTTCTTTGTTATAGAGCCAAAAAGTGGTTTATCCATACATCTCCATTTTGGATAAATACTGTAGCTCTTCTGTTTGTTTAGTGTGTTCCAATTTTCCCAGAAGTGGTTAGTCTATGGATTCTTCAATTACATTGAGCTGATTTCTGAAGTGCTGTTTTTTAATTTTTTCTTAGTGTATTTCTGTACTGTTTTTGCGTTTCACCATAGTGAAGGCGTAGGCTCAGGTTATCTGGGTCTCTGTGTTTTTGGTTGGATATGTCCCTCAATTCCTTTCTTAGGTTTTTGCATTCTTCATCAAACCATTTGTCATTGTTATTAATTTTCTTATGTTGTCTGGTTGAATTTTATTGATTTGATAGGGAAGCTGAGAGGTCAATTATACTATTTAGGCTTTGTACTGCTACCTTCAATGTTGAAGTAAAAAGTATTGTCCAGGAAGTTGTCTAAAAGCGATTGAATTAGTTGTTGGCAAATTATTTTCTGGTAGGTTTCCACACTACTGCAGTTGTGACCTGTTTTTGTTGGTTGTTTTGTCGTAATTGTATCTAGCGGGGCATATTGAGGAGGAAATGCTGTCACTTCCAGGTAGGTGTTTTTCACCCTGTGTGCTGAGGGTGTAAAGTTCTTGTTCTTAATGACCTTCAATGCTACAGAAATGTTTTGGTACCCTTCCCCAGATCTGTGCCTCGACACAATCCTGTCTCGGGGCTCTACGAACAATTCCTTCGTCCTCATGGCTTGGTTTTTGCTCTGACATGCACTGTCAAATGTGGGACCTTTTATAGACAGGTGTGTGCCTTTCCAAATAATGTCCAATCAATTGAATTTATCACAGGTGGACTCCAATCAAGTTGTAGAATCGTCTCAAGGATGATCAATGGAAAAAGGATGCACCTGAGCTCAATTTAGAGTCTCACAGCAAAGGGTCTGAATATTTATGTAAATAAGGTATTTCTGTTTTTAATTTTTTATACATTTGAAAACATTTCTAAAAACCTGTTTTCGCTTTGTCATTATGGGGTATTGTGTGTATTGATGAGGATTTTTATTTATTTAATCCGTTTTAGAACAAGGCTGTAACATAACAAAATGTGGAAAAGGTCAAGAGGTCTGAATACTTTCCGAATGCACTGTAGGTAGCACACAGTAGGACATTTTTCTCTGTTGAAATTATTTCCTTATTAATTTCTAGCCAGATGTAAAATGTTCCTGTTTTGATTAATTTAATAGAGTGGGTTAGGTCTGCTCTATACCAAATTAGCATACCCCCTGAGTCTCTTCCCTGTTTCACACCTGGTAGTTTGGTGGATGGGACTACCAGCTCTATATAACCTCGAGGGCAACCAGTGGGTTCATCTCCTCTATACCATGTTTTTTGTAAGATGACAATGTCTGTATTTCTGATATCTTTGGTGAAGTCTGGGTTCTTGCTCTTTAGTCCAAAGGCAGATGACCTCAGACTTTGTATATTCCAGGATGAGATAGTAAAAGCTGTGTGTTCCATAGTGTCAAGTGTTGTTATTTGTGTGGTTTAGGTTCGGACCATTCGGTGTGAGCTGAGCATCTGGTGTATGCCTCTTAGGTCGCAGGATGGGGCTTGGGTGGGTGTATTAGTGGGGGTTGGGCCTGTTGCTCTGCTCATGGCCTGGGAATATGTGTGTCTGTCATGTTGAGGTCCTTGGTGCAGGGGTGAGGGGCATGGGGGGGCAGAAGGGGCAAAAGACTGATCTGGGGAGGGCCTATATAGGGTGTGGCTAGGGTTTGGGGAGGGGTCGACTGGTGGGGGTGGGGATGTGGCTGTGATCTGGGTGTAGGTCCTCTTGGTGTGGATCCTCTTTGTGCAGGTCCTCCAGGAGGGGTCTCACAGTTCTGGGAGGATGTCTCTCTGGTCTGGGCGGAGTGTCAGTTTCTGTGTTGCTCCTGTGTGAGGTGCTGGGGCTGCGGTTCAGGTTGATGTCCTTCAGGGTACTGGCAAAGGTGGGGGGACTGCTGCCGGGTGTTCGGTCACCAGAGTTTAGCCACTTGGGGTTTTGGAAAAAGTTTCCTCATCAATGTATTTCCCATTTGAGTCAACGAGGAGCACAATCTCTGGCTTTTGTGTGGGGGTGTTGTCAGGAGAGCTATCATGGGGGCTGACAGGGAAGTTTGAAGAGGTGTGATCACTCGCTCGGGGTGGGGGAGTCGTCACCAAGAGAAAGCTTCTCCTGCCCTGCTCTCTCTTTGATTCTTTGGAAGGCCTGTTGGAAATGTATGAAGTTGTCCTGCACCACCACTGTTCTGTTCTTGTAAAGGTTGACAGAGGGTGTCAGTCTCAGGGTCCTCGTTTTCCAGTATTCTGATTTTCCACCTTCCACCTATACCTGCTCTCTTAAAAGAAAGGTAGTGTGCTCTTATAGCTGTGTGCCATGCCCAGGGATGGTCTGTGTGGAAGGTTAAGTTGCTTACTTTCCCATTTTTGTAGTAGTCAGCTAAAAGTGTCTATGGATTGTCCATGAGGAGCTTCTCTTTGTACTCTTTCTGTGCCTTGTCATTTTTTTATATCCAAGGGGTACTGTAATTGTGGTGACCTCTGCACAGGGGGAAGCCATGGAGCAGGAGGCCAAAGAGGCCTCTGCATTTGGGTGGGGGAGGAACTCTGCTGACATTGTTGGGCTCAAGGGCTTCACACCTCTCACTTCACACTTCAGTGCTAATTAAAGTTGCAACTGGGTCTGTTCTTTCCCAGCAAGCTTGGTAGCCCTTTAATTTAGCATTCAGTCTTTATGCAGTTATATCTACAGATTATTGTAATATTATTTTCTTTCTAGGCTTTATAAGTAGCTTCAGACTGAACATTACTTACTCAGTTCCAGGTTGGATTATATTTTCAGGTTTCTGTTGTGCTTCTTTTGCTGGTTTATCAGAAGGTTTGCTGGATAGTCCTTGGCAGTAACAATCATTGGTAGTAAAAATACTTCCAGAATCCTTCCAGGTAATTTTGTCCTAAATCAGGTTGTAGGTTTTGATTTGGAGTGAAGGTTATGTTGTGGAGGGTAGTGTCCTGTATATGTCCCCAAAAAATACAAATGTTTATCCAACCCTAAATGTATATTTTTGTAAAAACAAATACAGTGGGGGAAAAAAGTATTTAGTCAGCCACCAATTGTGCAAGTTCTCCCACTTAAAAAGATGAGAGAGGCCTGTAATTTTCATCATAGGTACACGTCAACTATGACAGACAAATTGAGAAGAAAAAAAATCCAGAAAATCACATTGTAGGATTTTTTATGAATTTATTTGCAAATTATGGTGGAAAATAAGTATTTGGTCACCTACAAACAAGCAAGATTTCTGGCTCTCACAGACCTGTAACTTCTTCTTTAAGAGGCTCCTCTGTCCTCCACTCGTTACCTGTATTAATGGCACCTGTTTGAACTTGTTATCAGTATAAAAGACACCTGTCCACAACCTCAAACAGTCACACTCCAAACTCCACTATGGCCAAGACCAAAGAGCTGTCAAAGGACACCAGAAACAAAATTGTAGACCTGCACCAGGCTGGGAAGACTGAATCTGCAATAGGTAAGCAGCTTGGTTTGAAGAAATCAACTGTGGGAGCAATTATTAGGAAATGGAAGACATACAAGACCACTGATAATCTCCCTCGATCTGGGGCTCCACGCAAGATCTCACCCCGTGGGGTCAAAATGATCACAAGAACGGTGAGCAAAAATCCCAGAACCACACGGGGGGACCTAGTGAATGACCTGCAGAGAGCTGGGACCAAAGTAACAAAGCCTACCATCAGTAACACACTACGCCGCCAGGGACTCAAATCCTGCAGTGCCAGACGTGTCCCCCTGCTTAAACCAGTACATGTCCAGGCCCATCTGAAGTTTGCTAGAGTGCATTTGGATGATCCAGAAGAGGATTGGGAGAATGTCATATGGTCAGATGAAACCAAAATAGAACTTTTTGGTAAAAACTCAACTCGTCGTGTTTGGAGGACAAAGAATGCTGAGTTGCATCCAAAGAACACCATACCTACTGTGAAGCATGGGGGTGGAAACATCATGCTTTGGGGCTGTTTTTCTGCAAAGGGACCAGGACGACTGATCCGTGTAAAGGAAAGAATGAATGGGGCCATGTATCGTGAGATTTTGAGTGAAAACCTCCTTCCATCAGCAAGGGCATTGAAGATGAAACACGGCTGGGTCTTTCAGCATGACAATGATCCCAAACACACCGCCCGGGCAACGAAGGAGTGGCTTCGTAAGAAGCATTTCAAGGTCCTGGAGTGGCCTAGCCAGTCTCCAGATCTCAACCCCATAGAAAATCTTTGGAGGGAGTTGAAAGTCTGTGTTGCCCAGCGACAGCCCCAAAACATCACTGCTCTAGAGGAGATCTGCATGGAGGAATGGGCCAAAATACCAGCAACAGTGTGTGAAAACCTTGTGAAGACTTACAGAAAACGTTTGACCTGTGTCATTGCCAACAAAGCGTATATAACAAAGTATTGAGAAACTTTTGTTATTGACCAAATACTTATTTTCCACCATAATTTGCAAATAAATTCATTAAAAATCCTACAATGTGATTTAATGGATTTTTTTTCTCATTTTGTCTGTCATAGTTGACGTGTACCTATGATGAAAATTACAGGCCTCTCATCTTTTTAAGTGGGAGAACTTGCACAATTGGTGGCTGACTAAATACTTTTTTTCCCCACTGTATGCTGAAAGATTCAGGAGCTCATCTGCTCATGACCTGCTCTCTCTCTGCCCTCTCTCTCTCGCTCTCTCTCTCTCTCTGCCTTCTCTGCCCTCGCAGCAGGCCATGATGTGTTATCTGATGATCTTGTCCAGATAGCCACTGAGAATAGGAAAAGGCCCTTTTTGAAGCAAGGGTCGGTCTGATGTGAGGCTGGCAGGCCTTGGTGTCAGGCAGCTCAAAGCTTTGCAGACTTCAACTTTCAAATATTGCCTTTTGAAAATCAACTTAAGGAATTACTTTGATTTTCTTTTCTCTACGTTGTATTCTTGGTACCGGTGATCAACTTGAAGATTCTTCACACAACGTTGCTTTTGATCAATGGAAGTTCGTGTTTTTCTTTATCAGAGAACATAAAATATTCTCTCAATGCGAAAACCCTCTTAGCTGGTGTTCTCTTGAGGAAGAATATGTGCACACTCTTTAGAAAGGAGGAAGACAGAAGGTCCCTCTTTTGACCTTGCAGTGTTCCGGTGCACATCTATTGATTGAAGTAGAGATGCCCTTTTAAAGTTGTGTGAGTGTTTCTTGTGTTCTCTGACATTGAGTTTCCTGCTCCAGTTCCCCAGGTACTCAAGAGCTGCACGGAGTTCATCGAGAAACATGGCGTGGTGGACGGCATGTACCGCCTCTCTGGAATCGCCTCCAACATCCAGAAACTACGGTAAGACACGCACACACACACTCTCTCTCACACAGATTTGGCAGTGCTATCCGTTAAACATGGGTCTGCCTCATAGGGTGTTCATAGACGTAATCTCAAGTGTACACCAGCCACCAACTTCTGAGAATTTGTTCTGTTCTGCACAAAGCCCTCGGTGCACAGAGAAGGCAAAGGTCTTGTTATAACATCATGGACCTTGACTACCAGGTGCCATTGTACTCAATATCAGTTCATGTTCAAATGAATACAGCTCTCGTAACAGTAAGTTAAGAGTGGAACCCAACTCCTAAAGATAATGCACTTGTGCCCTACATCTCATAAAAATTCCATCAAAGATAACTTGCACTTTCAACAGAAATTACCATAATCTTTTCCTTGGCATGCGATATGTTGATTTACCCCTGTGTGTGGGAACTGTGGGCATCCCTCAACAACAACACGTGTGGGTGTGTGTGGGCATCCCTCGTCAACAACCTGTTGACTGGCCGTGACTTGTAGCGAAACATAACCCCTAACCGTTCTCTTCCCATCACATTTTTGCACTGTTCGTTTTGTCCTCTGAAACAGTCCAAGTAACTGACGTTGTTGCACTCTACCAACTGAGAACTCACAGTCTCTCACCCTGTAATTATAACATTTTTGACTGTGAAGAGGAAGGAATGTTTGGCGTCTCGAAGCCAAGCGTGAAATAGTGTGGGTTTCTTGTAGTATTTTATGGGGCTTTCTTTCGTTTTTTCCTGATCCTGAATAAGTAAAATCCTAACCCTGCAATAATTATTTGCATAGTTTAACTCAGGATGGAGATTTAGGAACCGTCTTAAAATTTTTATTTCCAATTGTTAAACCCACTGTTGGATATCCCAACTGCCACTTAACACCTCAGTTGTCTAGGATTACATCATTAATATAATGTGCCATTTATGACAACAACCATTATTCCACATGGAATATACACTGAGTGTACAAAACATTAGGAACACCTGCTCTTTCCATGACATGGTGACCAGGTGAAAGCTATGATCCCTTATTAATGTCACTTATTAAATCCACTTCAGTCAGTGTAGATGAAGGGGAGGAGACAGATTAAAGAAGGATTTTTAAGCATTGAGACAATTGAGACATGGATTGTGTATGTGTGCTATTTTGAGGGTGAATGGGCAAGACAAAATATTTAAGTGCCTTTTGAACGGAGTATGGTAGTAGGTGCCAGGCGCACTGGGTTGAGTGTGTCAAGAACTGCAATGCTGCCGGGTTTTTCACACTCAACAGTTTCCCATGTGTATCAAGAATGGTCCACCACCCAAAGGACATCCAGCCAACTTGACACAACTGTGGGAAGTACTGGAGTCAACATGTGCCAGCATCCCTGTGGAACGCTTTCGACACCTTGTAGCGTCCATGCCCGATGAATTGAGGCTGTTCTGAGGGCAGAAGAGGTGCAACTCAATATTAGGAAGGTGTTCCTAATGTTTTGTACACTCGGTGTATTCACTGAAAAGAGAGAGGACATTTTCATCATCTCTGATGTTTGAACAAAGAAATTAGGGGTTGTTTATGAAGTAAGAGTTATTGATGGCAGCTTCCTGTCAGAAACATTATTAAAGGGAGTGTCCTGTCCAGAACACTCTGTTTATTTACATAGTAGTTCACATTCCATGGATTTATCATGAGTTCTTCAGGTCACAAAACTCAACACAAAACAGTGTAACAAAAGTATGAAGATGTATTCACTCACTACTGTTATTTTTTTTATTTCTTTTACCTTTATTTAACCAGGTAAGCCAGTTGAGAACAAGTTCTCATTTACAACTGCAACCTGGCCAAGATAAAGCAAAGCAGTGCGATAAAAACAACAACAACACAGAGTTACATATGGAATAAACAAAACGTACAGTCAATAACACAATAGAAAATCTATATACAGTGTGTGCAAATGTAGTAAGTTATGGAGGTAAGGCAATAAATAGGCCATAGTGCAAAATAATTACAATTTAGTATTAACACAGGAGTGATAGATGTGCAGAAGATGATGTGCAAATAGAGATACTGGGGTGCAAATGAGCAAAATAAATAACAATATGGGGATTAGGTAGTTGGGTGGGCTAATTTCAGATGGGCTGTGTACAGGTGCAGTGATCAGTAAGCTGCTCTGACAACTGACGCTTAAAGTTAGTGAGGGAGATAAGAGACTCCAGCTTCAGAGATTTTTGCAGATCGTTCCAGTCATTGGCAGCAGAGAACTGGAAGGAATGGCGGCCAAAGGAGGTGTTAGCTTTGGGGATGACCAGTGAGATATACCTGCTGGAGCGCATACTACGGGTGGGTGTTGCTATGGTGACCAATGAGCTAAGATAAGGCGGGGATTTGCCTAGCAGTGATATCTAGATGACCAGGAGCCAGTGGGTTTGGCGACGAATATGTAGTGAGGGCCAGCCAACGAGAGTGTACAGGTCACAATGGTGGGTAGTATATGGGGCTTTAGTGACAAAACGGATGGCTCTGTATAAGAGCGTCTGCTAAATTACTAATATGTAAAAATGTAGAACTAAGAGGAAGAGATGAACCAACACCTCTTTGCAATGGGAGGAATGGTTCTATTTTCCTCTTGATTTGTCTCTAGTTACTTACTTGCTCTCTCTCTGTCCATGAATCTGTCTCGGTCTCTCTTTCTCGCTCAATCCTCTCTTTCCCTCTATCACCCCCCTTTCTATCCCCCTCCTCTCGCTCTCCATCCATGTCTTTCTCTCCCTCCCTCCACTAGGCATGAGTTTGACTCGGAACAGATCCCCGACCTGACCAAAGACGTGTACATCCAGGACATCCACTGCGTGGGCTCATTGTGCAAGCTCTACTTCCGCGAGTTGCCCAACCCCCTGCTCACCTATCAGCTCTACGAGAAATTCTCCGTAAGGACCTGCTCTTGGCACAGCACGGGCACTGCACCCTGAGTGCCCTTCTCCTCTACCCAAAACAAAAACATCACGCTTTCTCACACTAACGTGCTGCTGCCGCTTGGCGTCCCCCTAGTTACGAGACCCTTTTTGTTTTGGTTTGAGAGCTCTACAGTGTTGCAATATTGCATAATGCCCTTGGCCCCAGAGGAACCCTGCTCTGTCTCTTTGTGGATGGTATTTATTAGGTTTCGCACTATCCTGAACTGGAATCCAATTTCCATGTCGAAAAAATTAATAAATCTCTATCTCTGTGGGGGGTATGTTCAAGTGTCAATTATCTCAAGGGTAATAAGTACTGTATACAGTGGGGAAAAAAAGTATTTAGTCAGCCACCAATTGTGCAAGTTCTCCCACTTAAAAAGATGAGAGAGGCCTGTAATTTTCATCATAGGTACACGTCAACTATGACAGACAAAATGAGGGAAAAAAATCCAGAAAATCACATTGTAGGATTTTTAATGAATTTATTTGCAAATTATGGTGGAAAATAAGTATTTGGTCACCTACAAACAAGCAAGATTTCTGGCTCTCACAGACATGTGACTTCTTCTTTAAGAGGCTCCTCTGTCCTCCACTCGTTACCTGTATTAATGGCACCTGTTTGAACTTGTTATCAGTATAAAAGACACCTGTCCACAACCTCAAACAGTCACACTCCAAACTCCACTATGGCCAAGACCAAAGAGCTGTCAAAGGACACCAGAAACAAAAGTGTAGACCTGCACCAGGCTGGGAAGACTGAATCTGCAATAGGTAAGCAGCTTGGTTTGAAGAAATCAACTGTGGGAGCAATTATTAGGAAATGGAAGACATACAAGACCACTGATAATCTCCCTCGATCTGGGGCTCTACGCAAGATCTCACCCTGTGGGGTCAAAATGATCACAAGAACGGTGAGCAAAAATCCCAGAACCACACGGGGGGACCTAGTGAATGACCTGCAGAGAGCTAGGACCAAAGTAACAAAGCCTACCATAAGTAACACACTACGCCGCCAGGGACTCAAATCCTGCAGTGCCAGACGTGTCCCCCTGCTTAAGCCAGTACATGTCCAGGCCCGTCTGAAGTTTGCTAGAGTGCATTTGGATGATCCAGAAGAGGATTGGGAGAATGTCATATGGTCAGATGAAACCAAAATATAACTTTTTGGTAAAAACTCAACTCGTCGTGTTTGGAGGACAAAGAATGCTGAGTTGCATCCAAAGAACACCATACCTACTGTGAAGCATGGGGGTGGAAACATCATGCTTTGGGGCTGTTTTTCTGCAAAGGGACCAGGACAACTGATCCGTGTAAAGGAAAGAATGAATGGGGCCATGTATCGTGAGATTTTGAGTGAAAACCTCCTTCCATCAGCAAGGACATTGAAGATGAAACGTGGCTGGGTCTTTCAGCATGACAATGATCCCAAACACACCGCCCGGGCAACGAAGGAGTGGCTTCGTAAGAAGCATTTCAAGGTCCTGGAGTGGCCTAGCCAGTCTCCAGATCTCAACCCCATAGAAAATCTTTGGAGGGAGTTGAAAGTCTGTGTTGCCCAGCGACAGCCCCAAAACATCACTGCTCTAGAGGAGATCTGCATGGAGGAATGGGCCAAAATACCAGCAACAGTGTGTGAAAACCTTGTGAAGACTTACAGAAAACGTTTGACCTGTGTCATTGCCAACAAAGGGTACATAACAAAGTATTGAGAAACTTTTGTTATTGACCAAACACTTATTTTCCACCATAATTTGCAAATAAATTCATTAAAAATCCTACAATGTGATTTTCTGGATTTCTTTTTCTCATTTTGGCTGTCATAGTTGACGTGTACCTATGATGAAAATTACAGGCCTCTCTCATCTTTTTAAGTGGGAGAACTTGCACAATTGGTGGCTGACTAAATACTTTTTTTCCCCACTGTATGTTATGAGGATGAGCTAGTCTAACACTCCCACCCCCCCCCCCCCCCCCCCCCCCCCTAAGTAAAATATGAAGATTGTCAAAGTGTAGGCAGCGTTATGTCCCCTTGGCTTAGACAAGCGGTTTGCAAGTGCCTCCTTTGCACCGGCCCTGGCCGACTGACTGCGTGGAGGTGTCAAGTGTTAATTAAGCACTTCTTAATGCAGAGGCACTGATCCGTACCACTCTCCTCCCTCCCTCCATCCTCCCCTCCATCTCCCTCGTTCCTTTCCGCTCCACAGGAGGCCGTGTCAGCAGCCACAGACGAGGAGCGGCTCATCAAAATACATGATGTCATTCAGCAGCTGCCGCCTCCTCATTACAGGTTAGAGCAAAGCCACGCTGCCCCCTGCAGGAACACACAGGCTACAACACACATTACTGTCTCCATATGTCAATAAACGCAACATTCAACAATTTCAAAGATTTCACTGAGTTACAGTTCATATAAGGAAATCAGTCAATTGAAATAAATTCATTAGGCCATAATCTATGGATTTCACATGACTGGTAATACAGAAATGAATCTGTTGGCCACAGATACCTTAAAAAACAAGTAGGGGTGGATCAGAAAACCAGTCAGTATCTGGTGTGACCACCATTTGCCTCATGCAGTGCGACACATCTCCTTTGCATAGAGTTAATCAGGCTGTTGATTGTGGCCTGTGAAATGTTGTCCCGCTCCTCTTCAATGGCTGTGCGAAGTTGCTGGATATTGGCGGGAACTGGAACGCGGTCATACACACGATCCAGAGCATCCCAAACATGCTCAATGGGTGACATGTCTGGTGAGTATGCAGACCATGGAAGAACTGGGACATTTTTAGCTTCCAGGAATTGTGAACAGATAGATCATTGCGACATGGGGCCGTGCATTATAATGCTGAAACTTGAGGTGATGGCGGCGGATGAATGGCACGACAATGGGCCTCAGGATCTCATCACGGTATCTCTGTGCATTCAAATTGCTATCGATAAAATGCCATTGTGTTCATTGTCCGTAGCTTATGCCTGCCCATACCATAACCCCACCGCCACCATGGGGCGCTCTGTTCACAAGGTTGACATCAGCAAACCGCTCGCCCACACGACGCCATTTGCCCGGTACAGTTGCAATGGGTGTGGCTGAAATATCAGAATCCACTAATTTGAAGGGGTGTCCACATACTTTTGTATATATAGTGAATGTTATACAAACATAATGGATGGTTATTGTATTCCACTCAAACAGTTTTAGAACCGTATGATCTTATACAAGAGGGTAAAATATACTTCTGTAGAAGTAGTCATAGAACTGGTGTAAATTAGTTGTGTGTTTCATCCCCCATCCTGTTCTCAGGACTCTGGAGTTCCTCATGAGGCACCTGTCCCATCTGGCCACCTTCAGCTTCATCACCAACATGCACAGCAAGAACCTGGCCATTGTCTGGGCCCCCAACCTACTGAGGTCAGACAACATTATGTTATTATCTTGTTCAATGTCATGTTATTGTTCATATCTCATTGGTGTTATCAATAGTACTAGTACATATAGGTTGCTCTGAGTAACTGTAGTTGATCTTGTACCGAAAATGGCTATGTTGTGACTGAATTTAGGAAACAAACAAATTCTTCTGCCTTTTTGTGGAAGTAGGGCTGTGGTGGTCGTGGCATTCTGTCAGACGGTTATTGTCATGCAAAAGCCTGCTGGTCTCACAGTAATTTACCGCTAATTAACATAAACATGTTTAGCGCCTCCACACATGCAAGCCGCTGATGCACGCCTTAGGAAAATCAACATTTTAATAAATGAATTTAATAAAAACAATCATAAAACCTCTATTTGTTTTAGTCCGGTCTAAAGAAACATGATATGAAGAAAATGTATTTCAGAATAACAGAATATGAGTTGGCCTACTGTAGGCCTGTGTTATTTGTCTATGCTCCATGCCATAGGCTGTAGGCTTGTTCATTTAGCTGACAAGATATGCTTAAGTCCCATGCCATTATTTTATGTTATATAATTTTATAGTAAGAAGAATATAATTGAACTTAGCTGAATAAAATAGGAAGGATATTTTTCCTATTATGGAGCGAGTGCGCATATGAAGTGGCTATGTTGAGCGTAAAAGTGATCATTTGAAACAGGTCCTACAGTGCATTCGGAAAGTATTCAGACTCCTTCCCTTTTCCTGGCCATGGACCCAAAATGTCGATGTTTTGTTCCCTGAGCCACTTAGTTATCACTTTTGCCTTATGGCAAGATGCTCCATCATGCTGGAAAAGGCATTGGTCGTCACCAAACTGTTCTTGGATGGTTGGGAGAAGTTGCTCTCGGAGGATGTGTTGGTACCATTCTTTATTCATGGCTGTGTTCTTAGGCAAAATTGTGAGTGAGCCCACTCCCTTGGCTGAGAAGCAACCCCACACATGAATGGTCTCAGGATGCTTTACTGTTGGCATGACACAGGACTGATGGTAGCGCTCACCTTGTCTTCTCTGGACAAGGTGTTTTCCGGATGCCCCAAACAATCGGAAAGGGGATTCATCAGAGAAAATGACTTTACCCCAGTCCTCAGCAGTCCAATCCCTGTACCTTTTGCAGAATATTTGTCTGTCCCTGATGTTTTTCCTGGAGAGAAGTGGCTTCTTTGCTGCCCTTCTTGACACAAGGCCATCCTCCAAAAGTCTTCGCCTCACTGTGCGTGCAGATGCACTCACACCTGCCTGCTGCCATTCCTGAGCAAGCTCTGCACTGGTGGTGCCCCGATCCCGCAGCTGAATCAACTTTAGGAGACGGTCCTGGCGCTTGCTGGACTTTCTTGGGCGCCCTGACGCCTTCTTCACAACAATTTAACCTCTCTCCTTGAAGTTCTTGATGATCCGATAAATGGTTGATTTAGGTGCAATCTTACTAGGAGCAATATCCTTGCCTGTGAAGCCCTTTTTGTGCAAAGCAATGATGACGGCACGTGTTTCCTTGCAGGTAACAATGGTTAACAGAGGAAGAACAATGATTTCAAGCACCCACCCTCCTTTTAAAGCTTCCAGTCTGTTATTCTAACTCAATCAGCATGACAGAGTGATCTCCAGCCTTGTCCTCGTCAACACTCTCACCTGTATTAACAAGAGAATCACTGACATGATGGCAGCTGGTCCTTTTGTGGCAGGGCTGAAATGCAGTGGAAATGTTTTTTGGGGATTAAGTTCATTTTTTTTTGCAAAGAAGGACTTTGCAATGAATTGCAATTCATCTGATCACTCTTCATGACATTCTGGAGTATATGCAAATTGCCATCATCAAAACTGAGGCAGCAGACTTTGTGAAAATTAGTATTTGTGTCATTCTCAAAACTTTTGACCACGACTGTACACACAATACCCCATAATGACAAAGCGAAAACAGGTTTTTAGAAATGTTTGCAAATTTATAAAAAATATAAAACAGAAATACCTTATTGACATAAGTATTCAGAACCTTTGCTATGAGACTTGAAAAATTGAGCTCAGGTGCATCCTGTTTCCATTGATTATCCTTGAGATGTTTCTACAACTTGACCTGTGGTAAATTCAATTGATTCGACATGATTTGAAAAGGCACACACCTAGCTATATAAGGTCCCACAGTTGACAGTGCATGTCAGAGCAAAAACCAAGCCATGAGGTCGAAGGAATTGTCCGTAGAGCTCCAAGACAGGATTGTGTCGAGGCACAGATCTGGGGAAGGGTACCAAAACATTTCTGCAGCATTGAAGGTCCCCAAGAACACAGTGGCCTCAATCATTCTTAAATGGAAGAAGTTTGGAACCACCAAAACTCTTCCTAGAGCTGGCCTCCCGGCCAAACTGAGCAATCGGGAGAGAAGGGTCTTGGTTAGGAAGGTGACCAAGAACCCGATGGTCACTCTGACAGAGCTCCAGAGTTCCTCTTTGGAGATGGGAGAACCTGCCAGAAGGACAACAATCTCTGCAGCACTCCACCAATCAGGTATTTTATGGTAGAGTGGCCGGACGGAAGCCACTCCTCAGTAAAAGGCACCTAAAGGACTCTGACCATGAGAAATAAGAATCTCTGGTCTGATGAAACCAAGATTAAACTCTTTGGCCTGAATGCCAAGTGTCATGTCTGGAGGAAACCGGCACCATCCCTACGGTGAAGCATGGTGATGACAGCATCATGCTGTGGGGATGTTTTTCAGTGGCAGAGACTAGTCAGGTTCAAGGAAAGATGAACGGAACAAAGTACAGAGAGATCCTTGATGAAAACCTGCTCCAGAGTGCTCAGTATCTCAGACCGGGGCAAAGGTTCACCTTCCAACAGGACAACGACCCTAAGCATACAGCCAAGACAACACAGGAGTGACTTCGGGACAAGTCTCTGAATGTCCTTGAGTGGCCCAGCCAGAGCACGGACTTGAACCCGATCGAACATCTCTGGAGAGACCTGAAAATAGCTGTGCAGCAACGCTCCCCATCCAACCTGACAGAGCTTGAGAGGATCTGCAGAGAAGAATGGGAGAAACTCCCCAAATACAGGTGTGCCAAGCTTGTAGCGTCCTACCCAAGAAGACTCGAGGCTGTAATCACTGCCAAAGGTGCTTCAACAAAGTACAAAGTTCTGAATGCTTATGAAACGTGATATTTTTAATAAATGTCCACACATTTCTTAACCTGTTTTTGCTTTGTCATTATGGGGTATTGTGTGTAGATTGATTAGATTTTACTTGATTCATGTTAGAATAAAGCTGTAACGTAACAAAATGTAGAAAAAGTCAAGGGGTCTGTATACATTCCGAATGCACTGTAAATGCTAGATTTAGTTATTTGGCAACTTTAGTTGTGAATTATACAAACCTTAGACTGTCTTAGAAATCAAAACATATATGGGCTGCATGGTGCGACCTATAGGCTATTGATGATTTGAGAAAGTAGCAAAAAAAGCTTGCGCTCTGTTCCTTGCCTCAGGCTGCACAGCTGTTCTGTCATCAAGTGATCATATTTTCACCCATCAGACTATTCTCAGTTTAATCTTTACTAATATGTAAAATTTGTTTCGATTTAGAATGGCCCATTATCAAAGGGGCAGGGGAATAAAGACATGTCATCTGTATGCACTCGAATGGAGGCCTCACGCTTTTCCTGACGGTCCGTAAATATATATAAGAACACTTATTTCACCACGCATCAACCACTGTTGGAGGAGCATGCTCTCACTGCCTGACAGGTGATATTATGCCCAAACTCTGTATGCCATGGGTTCTCCAACCTTGTTCCTGCAGCTACCCAGTGCACATGCTTAATTTGGGAAACCAAGAGAAATCTGTCTGGGAACATTGATGGTCCCGTGTAGCTCAGTTGGTAGAGCATGGCACTTGCAACGCCAGGGTTGTGGGTTCGATTCCCACGGGGGGCCAGTATGAAAATGTATGCACTCACTTAACTGTAAGTCGCTCTGGATAAGAGCGTCTGCTAAATGACTAAAATGTAAATGTAACATGTTTTCGCAACAAAACATATTTCACTAAACTTCACATCCCGTCTGCACGCTCGAGAAATGAATAAAGGAGAGAGAGGAGGAGATGGAAACGCATGGTGGTGAGATATTCTGTATAGCTAAAGGAAATGTGTCTCCCAATTAATTATGAAAATATAAATAATTCCCTATTACTAGGTTATTCAAATACAAATATACTAATTGTAGGCTAACTGTAAGCCGCTTTGCACAATCAATGAACCAACAGCATCGCCTAGGGCTTTAAGTTCTCTCCCAGATTCATGGATAGAAATTTTGAAGTGTAGCATAAGGTAACCAGTCCATCCAGTATGCATAATAATACCAGTCCACACTCAAAGGCGATTACTCAAATGTGTGGTATTTTAGGCTAGACCAATTATATACCAACAACATCTTAAATCAGTAGTTTTTCTGCCATGTGTAATATGCAGTAGGCTATGTATTGTATAATGGCACAATCATAATTTTAATTCAGATTTTTCTTTCAGGCTTGGACTATGCGTATGCATAAGCTCTAATATGCATATGGGGGTTTTGAATTAATCATCACCTTAGAAAGTGCTGTCCATTTCGTTGTCTTAGGCGTTGAAACAACATCCACAACAACCATGTTTTACACTGTTTCAACCTGCTGTTGAACTTCTTTCTTCAAATTGATCATCACAGTGAAGTGAGTTTTAAAAGTATGATAGGCCTACTGTTTTGATGAGTGTTCGATGTGATTTTTAAAAATACCATTAGCATTGATGTCAGAGTGGTTCGAGGGACAATAGAGCCCTGAGTACCAGGCCATTAGGACCTGAAGGTAGTTAGCAAGTTGGGTACTACCAAAGCATGTCCAGAGTGCATAAAAGGAGATTACCTTGACGCAACGGTCACATGGAATTTTACTGCGGTCTTGACTGCTGGTGTGGCAGTAGTACGGTCACCGCAACAGCCCTATGTGGAAGCATGAGTCATTAAAAAAATATATAGAGAATTTTGTTGACTCTTCTTTCCCCATGGTTGATCCCCAATGTCGTCTCCCCAGGTCCAAGCAGATAGAGTCGGCCTGCTTTAGTGGCACGGCAGCCTTCATGGAGGTCCGCATCCAGTCGGTGGTGGTGGAGTTCATACTGAACCACGTAGACGTCCTCTTCAGCCCCAAGCTCAGCTCGCTCATACGGGAGGGAGCAGGTACGCATGCCAACCTGTTGGGATGTTATATATGCTCAGTGCCATGGGGCTATCCAAAGCTGGAGGATTTTTTTCTAATGCAGGATTTTGGTTGATTCTAATTAATGCCAGTGGTGCTTTTGTCATGTCATTTGTCATAGCGCAAGCATAATCCACCTGACCCAAGTTTGCCCTCACCAAATGTTTCCTTTTAATTTAGAAAAAGTAGCTTATTCAGAACAATCACTTTTTATGCAAGTAATTTGTCACCTCCATAACATAGTGTACATTAATTAATTATTAATACATCAGTGGTCACCAACCTGTCGATATCCAAGGCATTCCTAGTCGATCACCAAACATTTCTGTAAAAAACAACAACGATAAAGCCTTGTGATCCTATTTTTTTTTTTTTCCTTTCACACTGTTGGTGGTGGGTGCACTTGATTCAGCAGCCCTAGCGCCAAGAAGACAAAGTGTTCCCATTTTGAACCATTTCAAGTGCCCAGAGAGCAAATCAAGTGCACCTATAGGCCTACCGCTGGCCTATCCCGATAGCTCAGATCACCGTGTCTGCACAGTTTCCACGGGCCATAGACTGTAAAAAGAAGCCTCGAATGCACAACAAAGTTGATACTGTGACATTTCAAAACTTTTAAAACCATGACTAGAGAGAGACTCAACGAATACAGCAAAGAGTTGTATTTTTTATGAGTAAGTTCATGTTTTAAGTTATTCAGGACTGTCAACACTTTTAAAAGCCATAAAATGCGCGTTCTCCCATTTCCACTCACGCTATAACCAGCACTGCAGCTACAATGAATGAGTATAGCAAAGTGTTTCGATAAGCTTGTGTTATTATTAGCGGCTTGACTTTTTTAATATCAAGGAATATTTCACTTTCTCTGGTCATAGGAGTATCAACATGAATTGATGCATGAGGCAGAAATAATGCAGTGCGACTTGAGTTTCGCCATCAGCTGGAAGACTTTTCTCAGTGGAGGGAGGGAGAGAGGAGGGACGGTGAGTCGGGTGAGAGGCAGCCTCACCGCTGCTCGGTCCCTCCCCTCAGACTGACCATCAGATGCAGGCCATCAGTCTAGTAAAAAATTAAAGCGAATTATTATGCGTACTCAGCTATGCCTCACAAGTAATACAACAAATGATTTATTACCAGTCTGATCATATACCTAAAAATGTTATATCATTTCATAATGGTCTGAGAATAACAACATTGTCAGGACAATTTAAGCATAGTGCTAATGTATTGGGCCTATAGCCTACTGCACAAACCTCATTGCTACATAACAGTTTTTAATTGGTTCATGCTGCATAGGTGTACATTTTTTAAAGTCATGTTTTTATTTTTATTTTATTTGAGCGGTAGATCTCTGCTTGCATTTTGACTCCGAAAGTGATCTTGACTCAGAAAAGGTTAGTGACCACTGGTGTACATGATGATCACTTCTCCCCTACCCCTAGGACACAACTCGTTGTTGCGGCCCAAGTCCCTGCTGGTGTCGTCCCCCTCCACCAAGCTGCTGACCCTGGAGGAAGCCCAGGCCCGGACCCAGGCCCAGATCAACTCCCCCGTCACGGCCGACAGCAAGTACATTGAGGTGGGGGAGGGCCCGGCTGCGCTGCAGGGCAAGTTCCACACCGTCATCGAGTTCCCAATGGAGAGGTATGAACAACCTGAGGCCCTGGTATCTTTCGAACGGCTGATGTTTGTCCATGAGTTGTAAAGTATGGAAATGGAGGAGGCATAGATGAGTGATACAATACTTGGATGGAAATGTCGTACCTTCAAACCATGAACGCATACAGTCACAGTGAGGGGAAAAAAGTATTTGATCCCCTGCTGATTTTGTACGTTTGCCCACTGACAAAGAAATGATCAGTCTATAATTTTAATGGTAAGTTTATTTGAACAGTGAGAGACAGAATAACAACAACAAAATCCAGAAAAACATGTTATAAATTGATTTGCATTTTAATGAGGGAAATAAGTATTTGACCCCTCTGCAAAACATGACTTAATACTTGGTGGTAAAACCCTTGTTGCCAATCACAGAGGTCTTTGTCTTTGTCAGTGGGCAAACGTACAAAATCAGCAGGGGATCAAATACTTTTTTTCCCTCACTGTATATGGTTTCATATTATAATTCATATTATATACAAGTGAGTCATGTTCTTTAGGCAACGATATCAAAAGGACACATGACTACTTTTACATTTACATTTTAGTCATTTAGCAGACGCTCTTATCCAGAGCGACTTACAGTTAGTGAGTGCATACATTTTCATTCTGACCCCCCGTGGGTAACGAACCCACAACCCTGGCGTTGCAAGCGCCATGCTCTACCAACTGAGCTACACGGGAGGTTTGTTTTCCCAACTGAGTGTTTCCCTTCTGTCCATTCACTTCCTACAGGAAAAGGCCCCCCATCAAGTCCAAAAGGTCTCCGGTGGGAAACTGGCGCTCCTTCTTCAACCTGGGCAAGTCATCATCCATGTCCAAGCGCAAGCTGCACCGCAACCCCAGCGAACCCAGTGAGCTCAAGTCCATGGCCCTGGCAGGTTAGATTCCCTTTCCTCTTCCCTCCCAAACACCAACCCTTCACTCGCTCTGACTCCTCTCGCTCTGACTCCTAGTAGAATAGATATTGAATTTTCCATTTGGTTGGAACGGAAACTAATGTATGTGAACTCATGTCTGTCTGTCTCATGTCCCAGGAGGCAGAGGGGACACAGGGACACTCCGATCGGCCAAAAGCGAGGAGTCGCTCACCTCGCTACACAACGTTGAAGGTAATGTTTAATGGGACTTCTCTCCACGGCACTCTATACAGTGAGGGGAAAAAGTATTTGATCCCCTGCTGATTTTGTACGTTTTCCCACTGACAAAGAAATTATCAGTCTATAATTTTTTAATGGTAGGTTTATTTGAACAGTGAGAGACAGAATAACAACAAAAAAATCCAGAAAAACGCATGTCAAAAATGTTATAAATTGATTTGCATTTTAATGAGGGAAATAAGTATTTGAGCCCCTCGCAATCAGAAAGATTTCTGGCTCCCAGATGTCTTTTATACAGGTAACGAGCTGAGATTAGGAGCACACTCTTAAAGGGAGTGCTCCTAATCTCTGCTTGTTACCTGTATAAAAGACACCTGTCCACAGAAGCAATCAATCAATCAGATTCCAAACTCTCCACCATGGCCAAGACCAAAGAGCTCTCCAAGGATGTCACGGACAAGATTGTAGACCTACACAAGGCTGGAATGGGCTACAAGACCATCGCCAAGCAGCTTGGTGAGAAGGTGACAACAGGTAGTGCGATTATTCGCAAATGGAAGAAACACAAAAGAACTGTCAATCTCCCTCGGCCTGGGGCTCCATGCAAGATCTCACCTCGTGGAGTTGCAATGATCATGAGAACGGTGAGGAATCAGCCCAGAACTACACGGGAGGATCTTGTCAATGATCTCAAGGCAGCTGGGACCATAGTCACCAAGAAAATAATTGGTAACACACTACACCATGAAGGACTGAAATCCTGCAGCGCCCGCAAGGTCCCCCTGCTCAAGAAAGCACATATACCTGCCTGTCTGAAGTTTGCCAATGAACATCTGAATGATTCAGAGGAGAACTGGGTGAAAGTGTTGTGGTCAGATGAGACCAAAATCGAGCTCTTTGGCATCAACTCAACTCGCCGTGTTTGGAGGAGGAGGAATGCTGCCTATGACCCCAAGAACACCATCCCCACTGTCAAACATGGAGGTGGAAACATTATGCTTTGGGGGTGTTTTTCTGCTAAGGGGACAGGACAACTTCACCGCATCAAAGGGACGATGGACGGGGCCATGTACCGTCAAATCTTGGGTGAGAACCTCCTTCCCTAAGCCAGGGCATTGAAAATGGGTCGTGGATGGGTATTCCAGCATGACAATGACCCAAAACACACGGCCAAGGCAACAAAGGAGTGGCTCAAGAAGAAGCACATTAAGGTCCTGGAGTGGCCTAGCCAGTCTCCAGACCTTAATCCCATAGAAAATCTGTGGAGGGAGCTGAAGGTTCGAGTTGCCAACATCAGCCTCGAAACCTTAATGACTTGGAGAAGATCTGCAAAGAGGAGTGGGACAAAATCCCTCCAGAGATGTGTGCAAACCTGGTGGCCAACTACAAGAAACGTCTGATCTCTGTGATTACCAACAAGGGTTTTGTCACCAAGTACTAAGTCATGTTTTGCAGAGGGGTCAAATACTTATTTCCCTCATTAAAATGCAAATCAATTTATAACATTTCTGAAATGCGTTTTTCTGGATTTCTTTGTTGTTATTCTGTCTCTCACTGTTCAAATAAACCTACCATTACAATTATAGACTGATCATTTCTTTGTCAGTGGGCAAACTTACAAAATCAGCAGGGGATCAAATACTTTTTTCCCTCACTGTATGGCTGATGGAGCCTATTCTTGAGCGCAAGTCTGCTATGGTCCAAGTAGTAATGTAATTATATTGTTTTCTCTAATAAAAAATCTTGTATTTGAATTGATGATGATTTCCCCCTGACTCCCGTAGGAGAGTCGAAGGTGTACCGTCCGCGGCGGCCCCGCTCCAGCAGCGACGCCCTCTCAGCTTCCTTCAACGGGGACCTGCTAGACAGCCACACCCGGCAGCACTGCAACTCCTATGACAATCTGGCCCAGGGCCACAGCGGGGGCGCCACCCGCGACGGTGGGGACAGCGATGGGGATGACGGGCCCATCTATGTTCCAGCCCTGATTTCGCCCCCGCGTTCGGCCGGCGAGGACGTGGACCTTAGCCCCCCAGACATCGGCATGGCATCGTTGGACTTTGACCCCATGTCGTTCCAGTGCAGCCTGCCCGACGGCTCCTTCTCCTTCCCCCTGGGGCTGAGTGATGTCGCCACGGGTGCGGCTGGCGAGGGCACCGGCCTGAAGAGGATCCCAGGCAGCGTTGACAACGGCTCTGCGCTTGTCTCGCCTTCTTTCCTGGGGAAGTTTGCCAACCCCTTCCTGTCGCCTGACCTCAGCCCGGCCACGGGAGAGAAAGCAGGGAGCAAGAAGCTGGCCTGCTCTGTGTCTTTCTCTGACAAACCCGTACAGGCTGTGTCCCCGATAAAGTCAAAGTCGGACATTTTGGCTCCTCTGGCCATTTCGGAGCTGTTTGACATGGAGTTTTCTAGTAGGCTTACAGAAAGCCATGGTGTTCCCCAGCCTTCCTCCCCTCCCTCGGGACTGCCCTGGGACTCTCCTCTGTTAATGGGCTCAGTGCTGCTGAGGACGGGGGAGCCGTCGCTGAGCGAGGCCTTTCAGATGGAGCTGCACTGTAAGCTCTCTGCCTTCGACACTGAGAGCCAAGACTCCACAGGGGAGGAGAGCACTGTCCAGCAACCTCCAGCAACCAGTAGTAAGGAACAACTAGGTCAGTGGTGCATACAGCTGCTACATTTTCACTTTATTATGTTTATTTTTAATGTTAAAGGGATAGTTCACCCAAATTACTAAATTATATATTTGTTTCCTTTCCCTGTAAGCAGGAATCTTACCAATATGTCATTTTGTAATTTAGGTGAACTGTACATTTAAATATGATTGTCATGTTTCTCTTTACAGTATAAGGCCTTTGTTTGATTATGCTTTGATTGACAATGCCTGTTTCGTTTCTAGGTTTAGTTTGCCCGCCTCATGCCTTTAACACCTTGCATGGATTTCAGCTCAGAGAAATCTTTCCACATGATGCCACCAGAGCGCCAAGCTTAACTCTTCCCCCTCTCTCCTCCTCTTGAAGACCAAGCCTGCCTTTTTTCTTTTTATTCCCCTCGAACACACTTTCTCTTCTCTGTCCTCACACTGCAGTTCCCTTCTGTTTTTGTCCCCCTCCCAGGAGCCGTAGCTAGTCTGGACTCTCCAAAAGCCTCCCCTGGCCCTCTCAGCTCCTCCTCCGTGTCCCTCCTCCCTCCCCCGCCCCCTCAGAAGAACGGCGCCCGCATGCTGGCCCTGGCCCTGGCAGAGTCCGCCCAGCAGGCCTCTATCCTGACCCAGAAGAGGCCCTCCCAGTCCCAGCCCCCCACGCCAGTGTCCCCCGTCAGGCCACTGGAGCCCTCACGCTCCCTGGATTGGCACCCTCCCCCAGCTCTGCGCCCCCAGACGTCCCTCGAGGAGGGACCCAGAGCAGGAGAAGCCCAGACCCCAACCTTAACCCCCACTACCCCAAACCTTGCCCCTCCCACCTCTACCCCTCCCACCACCCCTACTGACAAACAGCCGAGCCAGTCAGTGAGCCATGAGTTCATCAGTACATCCACCAGTGGAAAGTCCCCCTCCACTCCTCCCGGAGCCAGTCAGGATATGGATTTCACCCCACTGGCATCCCCCCACCACCAGTGTGCCACCACTCCCTACAGCCCTCCTGCCCATGTGTCCCCCACTCGGAGGAGTCCAGAGAGGCAGCAGCCTGCCATGGGCCAGGTAGCGGTCAGCAGCACTGGATTCTCCACCACCACCCCCCCATCCACCACTCCCAGCAGCAAGGAGACGGGTGTCCTGCCACAGCCTGCTCCTGAGGTAAATTTGGTCAAATGTGTCATATTTGCAGAATATCTTTGATACAGTAGCTATATACTCAACTGGAATTGTTTTTGGTAAATTTTCAGGTCCATGTAGATGAGACCGTCTGGTCGCCAACTCCAAAACCCTCAGAGCAGCCAGTTGCAGTTCCACAGCCTCAATCACAGCCTCATATACAGTTCCATACTCCGCCACAGTCGCAGCCTCAACCTCGTACACGGTCTCATCCCCAGCCTAACGCCAGAGTGGCCCCCACCCCAGCCGAGCCAGTGGAGAGACCATGGGAGGCCATAAAGCCAGTTCAGCCCCGCACGGAGCCTGTGACCCACCACCACGCCCATGGGCCCACGCCGCCAGCGCCTCCCATCCGCTCCATTGAGAGCAAATTGGCAACCGCCGCCCTCAGCCACATAGAGGCCGCCAACCCCGCCATCTTCCACAACATCCTGACAGAGACCTCCACGCCTAAGGAGGCCCTTGCCCATCCTCCCGCTCCCCCGCGGAAGTCTTCCACCCACCAGTCAGCCTACCTGTACCACACCAAGGGAGAGGCCGCCTTACTGGAGCCTCCTGGGGAGGCCTACTACCACCAACGGGCCGTTCCCGTGGGGCAGCCTTCATACCACTACCGGCCAGACAGTGTTCCCCCACACCTCTCCTACGTGTCAAAGTCGGAGCCCCAGATACCTTACAGTGCCCGCATAGACCACCACTACAACACCCTAGCTCACCCCAGGTCCTGCCACCAGTCAATGAAGCATCGCGGGCCCCCCAGGGGTGGCGAGTACATCTCCCCCAGCCCGGGACACCGCGGCCAGGGCTGTGGCCCCATTGAGGGAGCCCCGGTCTACCCCACCATCCGCAGGGTGCACTCGCTCCACGTGCCCTCAGCAATCCGCTCAGTGCCCATCCAGCGGACCGAGGTGCCTCCCGACGACGAGCTCTTCTACTACCAGCGGCCCGTCTACCAGTGCAAGGCCTACCAGCAGCAGCAGCCGCAACAGTCCTCACAGGCCGACTACCACGTCACCCAACTCCAGCCTTACTTTGAGAACGGCCGGGTGCAGTACCGTTACAGCCCCTATTCGCCTAGTGCCAACCCGCTGGATGCCCCTTACTACGACGTGGACCCCTATGGGACCATCAGGCTGCGGCACTTCCACTCATTCAGCAGTCGGGACCTGGGCCCCACCCTCAGCCGGTCGGGTGGCAAGGCGGGCGGCTATAACTACCTGTCCCGCCACATCCTCCCGCCGGGGAAGGAGCACAGCTTCGTCAGCAGAGACATGCCCCCAGGCCATGGCTCAAAGGGAGCCGCAGTTTACTTCGCATGGAACCCAGAGGACTATGAAAGGCTCCGGATGCACTCCATCCACAGAGAGAGCCGGTCCAGGCAGAAGGTCAAGGGTCCTGTCATGTCTCAGTATGACAACGTGGGCCTGTTCATGCCTGGCGACCTGGGGGGGTACGAAACCCTACACCTGCGCAGTAAGTCGGACCCCGGCAAAGCCATGCTGATGTCTGTCGAGGGTAAAGACGGGCGCTACGGCGTATCACCAGGTTCCCAGCACGCTCCCCGACACCTGGTGTGTGATCCTGACGTCCTCATGTACATGGAGACAGAGAAGCACTGTCAGGGGAACGGCACCGTGGACAAACAGAGCAGCTCCAGGACCTGCCAGACCTCTCACTCGCACCAAGCCCTACACCCACCCTGTAACCAGTCCCATCAGCAGGACCCCAGCCGACACGACCCGGGAGACGGTGCTCGGAGCTTCCAACCCCGCTATGAACAGCCCGATCCAAACCGCCATCAGACCAGGGCCAAACCCCCCGGTAGTTACCAAGACAACGATGACCACCAACACCAGTCGGCCCCCGTCAAAGCGCAGGCCCCTCCCAAGGCCGAGCGGTCGCACAGCATCCGAGAGCGGCAGCAGCAGCACTATAGCCAAGCTGCCACGCCCGAACCAGACAGAGACTACTCATACCAGCCCCACGGTGGGCAGCAGAGACACAGCACCATGGCGGTACAGTCTCACTACGACAACCTGGATGATTACCACCCAGCAGCAGTACCTCAGCCACAGGCCCCCATGCCAAACCCCCGCGGGGTCTCCACTGCCTCTTTCCCCACCAACCCTGGCTTCACGGGCAGCCACAGCAACCGAGCGTACTCCACTGCCTTGGGCCAGGGCGCCTTCATCCCAGCTGAACTGGCCCTGCAGAGGCCCGAGACAGAAATACACGCTGAATGAAGAAGAGACTTGGAAAAACAAACTTTTACGCAGGTTTTAAGCAATTAAGTGACTCAACTCAAGATTAAAAAGTTCCACAGCCTCTGCAGGACAGTGGACTGTCGTCACACCCTTTCGCATTATTTTTCTCCTCTATATTTTTTATGAATTGTAAAGAAAATAAGAGACTTTTTAGAGAATGTACTGAATGTACCATACTTTCTTCAATTGTTCTAAGAAGCCACGCGGTCGATGGTGGATGATCATAGAAATGTATATGATATAAGTGAAATGTCCGAGAAACCAGAACCGCAAAAATGTAAAATATGTGTACAAAGAAGAAGAACTGGTAAAAAGGGATTTTATTTTTTATTTTTATTGTTTTAACCAGGACTGGGGAGAGGTATGAGCATAACAGGGACGAAGTTCTGCATTTTAGAAATGCATGTAATCTCGAATCTCTTACAGAACCATTGATATCCATTGTGTACTTTCTGGATGTTTCAGTGCAAGTTGTAGAGGGAGGAAATCTGTGTAAGTCATTGTGCCCTCCCTCCTGTCACTGTATACACAAGGCGGTACAGTATGTTCACTTTGTCTTCAAGCATCTCTGATTTGGGGTCGGGCCCAACAGTACAAAGTTAGTTCTAGAACTACACAGGGTACTTTCACCTAGTACAGTAGGGTTATGTTAATATTTTATTTGCTCTGTGATGGTGTGCTATTCTTAGATTTTGTGTATTTTCGCTATAAAACAGAATGAATTGAATTTTAATGGAATGTTTTGGAACAGAGATTTGTTCTTCATTGCAAGAGGGACCAAACATTTTGGCACAGTCTTTTTGACCATGAAAGCATTCCTGCACATGTATGGGTTGATGACTGGGTGTGAGAATGACAACGTTACCTTGGAAGGTGTAACAGAGTAATTCTTAAAATGTGTTTTGTTATAGTCTTGTTTTTTTTCTGCCAATTTTAAAAGACTTGAATGGACTGGACAACTTAATAAAATTATAAAAAACTGTTCTATCCAAGAAACTGATATTGTACAACACTTCACACAAACGTAAATGCTTGGTCAGCCCTTGAGCAAGTTGAATTCACTCCAGCAACTACATTTTGAAATAAATGTACATACTAATTTTCAGAGTATGTGAAAAAGATGGTTTAAATGTTCCCAGAGTAGTAAACCATAATGTAATTTGAATGGACAAATGTTTGGGACCATTTTGAAAAAAAGTGGAATAACTTTTAAGGAACCAACTGTCTGCTTTCAGTGCAATTAGTCAATAGCCAGTCAAATTGGCAGAGGATTCAGATTCATCTCATTCAATTTCAAATGCAGGTCATATTTGCATTTGAAAACCTTTGACGATATTTTAGTTGTAACCCCCATTGGCTTGTGAAGGTACTGTTCTCTTTTGCCTTATGAATGGCCCCTACCTGTTCAAATGGATACTAAACTGAATACTCCCATATGTCCCTCCTTTGTTGTGGGGCACAGTAAGTGGCTAAAGAACCACCTAGTTGTTTGAATGTGAAAACATCTCTCGTCTCAGTAACTGGAGAGTTATGCTGTTGGATATAACAAATAAAATTGTTCAGGAAATAACAATGAAAATGAATGTGGGTCAGTGGTTTCTTTTGCAAAATTGCAGTGTAGAATGTTCAATGCTACTTTTGATGGAGACCCTGTGAGCCTTTGTCCTAAACAACTTTTATTTTACATAACACAAAGCTCCCTGAGATGTCTTGACTGTAGACATAATGATAAACACTTCTAAAATGTTAATTATGTTGGCATACCGATTTCAGTGAAGCTACCAGTAAATGCATTTTCCCTGTTGGATGCCAGAGGCAAGGAGCCAATTCCAAAAGTATGCATATGTATTTGCCATCCATATGTCACAAGTGTGACGCATTGCCTTTGACTAGAGAAAAAAAGTTTGGATGTATGAAAAGTTCTGTTTATTTTTGCTTCATTGCATATACTCAGTTTTCACAGACATTCTATTTCTGTCGGGCCAAAAACATCTACAAATAGTCCAGGGATGCCTCACTCCAGGTTCAGTTGTTGAACTGCAAGACAAATTGTGGGTTTGAGGGGGGTCCTTTTACATGAATGAGAATACCACAATGATTTTATTTTCACCATTGTAAGACTAGAGGAAATGACAGACGAGTTCAACCACAGGTACATTGGATTGGGCACCGCGTCCATTCACGGAGTAGCTAAGTCCCAGTGTTAGGTGTATTCTCGTGCAGACTCTGTAGCGCTAAATCTGACCACTTCATTTCTTGTTCTTTCACAGACTCTGTTGATCCTCCATTATCTTGCTCAGCTTCAGGCAGTTCACTCTGCAGGATAAAAAAAAAAAAGTATTAACCACATGAGAGCAAACTACACTGATATAAATATAAATGCAACATGTAAAGTGTTGGTGCCATGTTTCATGAGCTGAAATAAAAGATCCCAGACGTACAAAAAGCTTATTTCGCTCAAATGTTGTGCACAAATTTGTTTACACGCTATATGTGAGCATTTCTCCTTTGCCAAGATAATCCATCCACCTGACAGGTGTGGAATATAAAGAAGCTGATTTAAACAGCATGGTGCACCTTGTGCTGGGGACAATAAAAGGCCCCTAAAATGTGCAGTTGTCGCAACACAATGCCACAGATGTCTCAAGTTGAGGGAGCGTGCAATTGGCATCCTGACTGCAGGAATGTCCGCCAGGACGTTGCCATAGAATTGAATGTTAATTTCTCTACCATAAGCCACCTCCAACATCGTTTTAGAGAGTTTGGCAGTATATCCAACCAGCCTCACAACCGCAAACCATGAGCGGTTTGCTGATGTCAACGTAGTGAACAGAGTGCCCCATGGCGGCGGTGGGGTTATGGTATGGGCAGGCATAAGCTACGGACAACGAACACAATTTATATATATACACACACAATTGCATTTTATCGATGGCAATTTGAATGCACAAAAATACAGTGACGAGATCCTGAGGCCATTTTTTTATTTAGGTATCTGTGACCAATAAATGCATGTGTATTCCCAGTCATGTGAAATCCATAGATTAGGGCCTAATTTATTTATTTCAATTGACTGATTTCTGAGGGGAGGACGGCTCATAATAATGGCTGGAACGGAATCAAACCATGTTTGATAACATTCCACTGATTCCGCTCCAGCTATTACCACGAGCCAGTCCTCCCCAATTAAGGTGCCACCAACCTGTGGTAGTATTGTCCAGTTTTATACAGAAGTATGAGTATCAGGCATTCCTAATAAGTAATTTTTTTCAGAAACTGATTTCTGAAACCAGTCAAAAGAGGACTCATTTGCTCTATTTGATTCCACCAGAGAGAGAGAAGGGAACCAGCAAGCTACAACATTGAGGCACTTGCGTAAGTATGGTCACTGGTGCTAGATGGCTAGTCAAAATTATTGCGTAAGTATGGTCACTGGTGCTAGATGGCTAGTCAATGTCTCGTATTTCAACCTGGTGTCAAAGCATTATGTATTATTCTGTACGTAAATCTGAAACTACACTTAGTATGGTATATGTTACGAATTTCAATTTGTTGTGACTAATGTTGAGATTTCAAACGCGCAAGCTTTGGGTTGCTAGACGTTCCCGTTATACACCCACCTTCCTTTTGTTTTTGCGTTAAGTAACCATACCAAACGTAACAAATAATACCATTTTAAGTGTCCCGAATTGTTACTATGTTACATTTAGTCTGAGACCAGGCTACTTATTTGGTAGCCAGGCAGTGAACTGGATTTAATATCTCTAGTTGATTTAATATCTCCATTTCCTCGTTATCGAAGGTACACCTGCAACTAGAAACATACATATATATATATAAGGCACCAGTGCTGTTGAAAAAGTTTACCCCATCTATAATCCATCCTACGATAGAATCCTGTATTGAAGATATCCAGATCTAACAAGTTACATATTTGGCAGAGCTGATGTGGCTGCAAAATATTAAAAAGGGCTATGACGCGTGTAACCGCAACAGTGCCTTCTAGCTATCGTAAGCTTGTTTCGGAAAGTGAAGTCCAAATGATATTTTTGGGCATCATACATCAACGATTTGGATGCTGCCATCATTATATTCACGAATTATATATTCACGAATAAATATGAGTGAGCCAGTTTTAGAATCTACTGTACACCTAACGTTATATCCATGTAGCATTTATCAACCTAGCTAAACCTCATCTGCACCATAAACATTGTTTAAAGGGTTTCCTTACCAATGGGATAGTGACATCTTCATAAGGTAGACGGTCTTCCCTCCAAGCATCATCTGTAAGGTCAAGAACCCTGCCATCTCTTTGAACTTCACTGTCCATCTCTGGACGTTTTGGTTGCCTGCTAGTAGTGCTAGCTAGGTGTGAAGCTGGCACAAACAGTATCCTTGTTTGTTGTGGTGGTTTAGCCGTCGAAAAGCAGTCTCGTGTGGCAAGCCAGAAGTCTTAATGAAGGCTTATAAGAGGCTCATTTATTTCCCAAAACCAAATACGTAATGTAAAAAATGTATGATGAACACTATAATGTACCCAAACAAAGAAGCCTTGCAAAAATCGCCACAACCTGCGATTCAAATGAGTCGCAGTATTTTGACGTCATCGGGAGGGAGGGGGATTAGTTCCGTGTTCACGGGTTTCCACAAATAAATTACAAAATTATTCTCTGAAGATGGTGAATCCTTACTGCAGAAACAATAAATAGTGGGTAGAGCCCAGCCGTTCTGCTGCCATAGGCGAAGCCAAAAATGCGCCGCGCGCATGGTTCTAGGTTTTCAAGCATTTTGAAAGAAGAGCCGTTTGGGAGCCAAATGATGTGATTATTTTATTTGTTTACACAGCCAAATGAAGCAATAGTGTGCAACTGCAGCCTGAAATTCGGGGCGTTCCTGCATGTGGGCGTTCCTGCAGTTGCATCCCATTGGTTCCTGCATGAACACCCCCCTCGAGTACGACATCTTCACGCTTGTGTGACACTTTTGAATGTCGGTCAAAAGGGGGGGGAAAGTATTATCTGAGTATTACGGTGTCACTCCAGCCTCCTGCCTGCAGCCCTAGCGGGGGCAACCGGTGGACAGTGTCCTTCGCTCCCGCCTGCCAATCACCTGCCCTCACCATCTTTAACAGAAATGCGGGAAAACAGTGCCCGACAAGCAGGGGCGAAGGACACTGTCTACCAGTCGCCCCCGCTAGTACTGCAGGCGGGAGGCTGGTGTAAGAAAACTGCTCAAGTAAGATGTAGCTCATTTAAAAAGTACTCAGTAAAAATTTTAAAATACAAATATTTACCTTGATAATTAGCCAATTTCGCTAAGGTTACCTGAACGTTGTTACACATGATATTTTCCATGCATTACATTTAAAAAGGAAGAGAGGAAATTCATGTACAGTAGGAACTAAGTTCATCTATTTTATGAGTTGCAACAAGGCACATTTGTATGTAAAATCATATAAGATTTGTCAAAAATATATTGGGGTTCTTTTTTTTTTACAACCAAATCTCTATTTCTTTATGTAAATAGATTTTATAGAAGGGTACAGACACCTTTTTTTGTGATTTCACATGTTTTTGAGAAACGTACCCCAAACAGCAAATCACTTTCTCATCCTCATTGTGTAGTATGGGGGCCCTGAAAAAACATGAACAAAGGCTCCAAAAACACCCAAATACGTTCTTTTAGAAATGGCAAAGGTCTCAGTATAGTGTATAGTGATGCAGTTCTTTAGATGTTGTATACATGAAATTGTGTAATTCTGAACGTCATCCGCAACGTTAAATTCCATTTTGTTTGCGACTGGAAGAAACTTTTGGCCATGTAGTGTATGTGGACACCTGCTCGTCGAACATCTCATTCCAAAATCATGGGCATTAATATGGAGTTGGTCCCCCCTGCTATAACAACCTCCAATCTTCTGGGAAGGCTTTCCACTAGATGTTGGAACATTGCTGCAGGGACTTGCTTCCATTCAGCCACAAGAGCATTAGTGAGGTCGGAGCACTGATGTTGGGAGATTAGGCCTGGCTCGCAGTCGGCATTCCAATTCATCCCAAAGGTGTTTGATAGGGTTGAGGTCATGGCTCTGTGCAGGCCAGTCAAGTTCTTCCACACCGATCTCGACAAAAATGTGTGAATGGACCTTGCTTTGTGCATGGGGGCATTGTCATGCTGAAACAGGAAAGGACCTTCCCCAAACTGTTGCCACAAAATTGGAAGCACAGAATAATCTAGAATGTAATCGGTAGTGAGGACATACGATTTTTACGCGCTACGCGCTTCAGCACTCGGCGGTCTCATTCTCTGAGCTTGTGTGGTCTACCACTTCCGGCTGAGCCGTTGTTGCTCCTAGAAGTTTCCACTTCACAATAACAGCACTTACAGTTGACCGAGACAGCTCTAGCAGGGCAGACATTTTACAAACTGACTTGTTGGAAAGGTGGCATCCTATGACGGTGCGACGTTGAAAGTCACTGAGCTCTTCAGTACGGGCCATTCTACTGTCAATGTTTGTCTATGGAGATTGAATGAATGTGTGCTCGATTTGTATAAACCTGTCAGCAACAGATGTAGCTGAAATAGCCAAATCCACTAATTTGAAGGGGTGTCCATATACTTTTGGCCATGTAGTGTACCTCTCCTTCTACAGGTAACTGCCAAAATAAAGGAAACACTTGAGTAAATTAGGGATACAAAGTATATTGAAAGCATGATGTGCTTCCACACAGGAAGTTCCAGAAAGCTTTTCTGGTGGCTTGTGGTATCCCTGCGCCCTATTAAGACGTTTTATGTTGGTGTTTCCTTTATTTTGGCAGTTACTCTGTAGCAGCAGGCTACATGTAGAATGGAACAGCTGGATAGGGATAACATTGCAGATAAAGTTCGCCATGACAACATTTAATGTGTACAACATCTAAAGACCTGCATCACTATACTGAGAGCTTTGCCATTTCTAAAAGGATATATTTGTGTGTTTTTGGAGCCTTTGTTCATGTTTTTTATGGGCCCCCCATTACGAAAAAAGATTCCAGTCCGAGTGCAGTATAACTGCAGTATGGTGCAATTACTGCATCCAAAATACCACAGTCGACTGCAGTTACTGCACTTTTACTGCAGTTTCAAAACTGCAATCCTTTTTTGTAAGGGCCTATACTACACAATGATGATGAGGATGTGATTTGCTGTTTGGGGTAAGTTTCTCAAAAACATGTGAAATCACTAAAAAAGGTGTATGGACCCATCTATAACATGCCATTTACTGTATCAGCTAAAAGTTTGGACACCTACTCATTCAACGGTTTCTTTATTTGTACTATTTTCTACATTGTAGAATAATAGTGAAGACATCAAAACTATGAAATAACACATGCATTGCAAAAGTATTCATCTCCCTTGGTGTTTTTCCTATTTTTTTGCATTACAACCTGTAATTTAAATTGATTTTTATTTGGATTTCATGTAATGGACATACACAAAATAGTCCAAATTGGTGAAGTGGAATGAAAAAAATTCAAATAAATAAATAACTGAAAAGTGGTGCGTGCATATGTATTCACCCCCTTTGCTATGAAGCCCCTAAATAAGATCTAGTGCAACCAATTACCTTCAGAAGTCACATAATTAGTTAAATAATGTCCACCTGTGTGCAATCTAAGTGTCACATGATCTGTCACATGATCTCAGTATATATACACCTGTTCTGAAAGGCCCCAGAGTATGCAACACCACTAAGCAAGGGGCACCACCAAGCAAGCGGCACCATGAAGACCAAGGAGCTCTCCAAACAGGTCAGGGACAAAGTTGTGGAGAAGTACAGATCAAGGTTGGGTTATAAAAAAATATCCAAAACTTTGAACATCCCACGGAGCACCATTAAATCCATTATTCAAAAATTGAAAGAATATGGCACCACAACAAACCTGCCCAAGAGAGGGCCGCCCACCAAAACTCACGGACCAGGCAAGGAGGGCATTAGTCAGAGAGACAAAAATAAACCAAAGATAACCCTGAAGGAGCTGCAAAGCTCCACAGCGGAGATTGGAGTATCTGTCCATAGGACCACCTTAAGCCGTACACTCCACAGAGCTGGGCTTTACAGAAGAGTGGCCAGAAAAAAGACATTGCTTATTTTTTTCTTTAAGCAAACACGTTTGGTGTTCACCAAAAGGCATGTGGGAGACTCCCCAAACATATGGAAGAAGGTACTCTGGTCAGATGAGACTAAAATTGAGCTTTTTGGCCATCAAGGAAAACGCTATGTCTGGCGCAAACCCAACACCTCTAATCACCCCGACAACACCATCCATCATGCTGTGGGGATGTTTTTCACCAGCAGGGACTGGGAAACTGGTCAGAATTGATGGAATAATGGATGGCACTAAATACAGGGAAATTCTTGAGGGAAACCTGTTTCAGTCTTCCAGAGATTTGAGACTGGGACGGAGGTTCACCTTCCAGCAGGACAATGACCCTAAGCATACTGCTAAAGCAACACTTGAGTGGTTTAAGGGGAAACATTTAAATGTCTTGGAATGGCATAGTCAAAGCCCAGACCTCAATCCAATTGAGAATCTGTGGTATGACTTAAAGATTGCTGTACACTAGCGGAATCCATCCAACTTGAAGAGCTGGAGCAATTTTGCCTTGAAGAATGGGCAAAAATCCCAGTGGCTAGATGTGCCAAGCTTATAGAGACATACCCCAAGAGACTTGCAGCTGTAATTGCTGCAAAAGGTGGCTCTACAAAGTATTGACTTTGGGGGGTTGAATAGTTCTGCACGCTCAAGTTCTTTTTTTTTGGTCTTATTTCTTGTTTGTTTCACAAAAAATATTTTGCATCTTCAAAGTGGTAGGCATGTTGTGTAAATCAAATGATACAAACCCCCCCAAAATCAATTTTAATTCCAGGTTGTAAGGCAACAAAAAAGGAAAAATGCCAAGGGGGGTGAATATCTTCGCAAGCCACTGTATGGAATCATGTAGTAACCAAAAAAGTGTTAAACAAATCAAAATACATTTTATATTCTTCAAAGTAGCCATCCTTTGCCTTGATGACAGCTTTGCACACTCTTGGCATTCTCCTAACCAGCTTCATGAGGAATGCTTTTCCAACAGTCTTGAAGGAGTTCCCACATATGCTGACTACTTGTTGGCTGCTTTTCTTTCACTCTGCGGTCCAACTTATCCCAAAATATCTCAGTTGGGTTGAGGTCGGGTGATTGTGGAGGCCAGGTCATCTGATGCAGCACTCCATCACTCTCCTTCTTGGTCAAGTAGCCCTTACATAGCCTGGAGGTGTGTTTTGGGTCATTGTCCTGTTGAAAAACAAAT